TGTGACAGTTACTCACCAGAACTCTCCCTGACTCCCAACATCACAGCGGCAACGCGACCCTGTAGATACACGCTCTACCACATCAGGAGAACACGTCCCCTTCTCACTCAGAAGGAGGCGCAGGTTCAGGCTCTTGTCATCTCACACCTGGACTACTGCAACTCCCTCCTGGCAGGTCTCCCCGCCACCGCCATTCCACCTCTGCAGCTCATCCAGAACGCAGCAGCTCCACCGGTCTTCAACCATCCGAAATTCTCCCACACTCCTCCACTCCTCCCGGCTGCCCGCGTCCAGTTCCAAACCCTGGTGCTCACGTACCACGCTGTGAATGGATCGGGTCCAGTCTACGTCCAGGACCTGGTCCAACCCGACATCCCGACCCGAACTCTCCGCTCTGCATGTGATAAACTGCTCGTTCCTCCTCACTGAGAGCAAAACACTCGACTAGATCTCCACTCTTTGCTGTCCTGCTCCTAAATAGTGGAAGGAGGTCTCTGAAGACATCAGGACCACAGAGAGCCTTCACCTTTTCAGACTCTACCTCCACTAACACACTAACTGTAGCACTTGTACTTATAACGCCACTATAGCAAGTTGTAAATTGGCTTATTTGATGAAATTGCACTTTGTTGTTTCTTGCTCTTCTGAGTTTGTACCTTATGGTTGAAACGCACTTATTGTAAGTCGCTTTGGATAAAAGCGTCAGCTAAATGACATGTGATGTAATAATAATGACATTGACTGCAGCCCCCCCCCCCCCCCCCCCCCCCCGAGACCCTGTGTGCAGGGTAAGCGGTTTGAAGATGGATGGAGGGATTTAATCATGAGACGCGCTGGTTTTATTTACTGTTATAACTTTGCATAAAGCGAAAGTGGCCCAAAGATTATGAGCTGATTTTTGCAACACAAGTTTGTAGATGCATATCTTCAAAGGTTCCTCGTGAAATACTGACTCGGTTTTCATCCCTAGTGCCTAATTAAACATACATGAAACCACCAGCGAGGGTCACAAATCAGGAAAACATTTTATCTCGACGCAAACCAAAAATATTTCAAATCTACAGCGATAAACTAGTGATTCAAATGTATTTTCTAATGTGCTGCCCTAAATGTGTGACTCTGACAACGACTTTTTCCAGGCGTTTCTCCTGGGCCGTCTGTCTGTGTGTGTCTGTGTGCGTCTGTGTGTGAGTTGATGTACGTGTGTGTGTGTGTGTGTGTGAGACAGATGGAGAGAGACAGGTAGACAGACGCAGGGTATGATGGTGAATGTGAAATCAGTCTGCAATGTGAAGAGAAGACAGATCCATCACACCGCTGAGTGTCTGTGTGTGTGTGTGTGTGTGTGTGTGTGTCTGTGTGTGCGTCTGTGTGTAGTCCAAGTGTGCAAACAAGCCGTCACTCAGACCGCCTGTGACACTGAACTGCTAGAAAAGCGTTTGTTGTTGCCACCGTGCAGATAGTTTAACCCGGTGTTGACAGGCCTTGACAGCCGCATGTCACGGAGCAGGAGGCCGAGGCTCCGGGGGGGGGGGGGGGGGGGGGGGGGGGGGGGGCGACGTGTTGGCCCCGGGGGTCAGAGGTCACGTGGTGACGGCCTTTGCTGCGGCTGCATCTCTAGCATTTTGCATGCGGCCATTAGCGTGCAGCGGCGCTGTATCATAGCCAGCGCACTTCATTATTTACGGCTCATTCGTAGCAGAGAACCTGCAGTGAGGAGGGAGAGGAGCCGGCAAGAGCATCGCAGCACAAACCGGCACGCGTTAAATCTTCAATTCAAAGTCGATCACTCTGAGCAAATAGCAATCTTTAGCGAGACGATTGCACTTTTAATCCGACCTTTACATCTGCAACACCAGATGAGACGCCGCCGCAATTAACCGAGGGGGGGGGGGAGTACCCAACCAGGGGGATAACCGGATGGGACTGCCGTCACACTCGCCCTCCCCGGCGCGACAGCACCCATCTCGCGGCGTCACTCATTTAACCGACGTATATATTCTGTTGAATGCGTCGGCTGGCCTGGATCCGGAGATGCTGAAACGAGCTCATAAATGAATGATGCGAGCTCATCGTCACGGAGACGCTGTGTTCAGAAGAGGCACAAAAAAAAAAAGAGAAGAAATCAGTGATGAGAGACCATGTTAGAAAGATGTTACATGTCTGTGGCTCATCAGCAACCGGGAGCTGTTTGATGAGAGCAGCAGCAGCGGCGGCTCTCAGGTTACCGTCTGCATCCCGTACAGGGCTGAAACCCAAACTCCTGCTGGGAAGCAGAGAGGGGGGGTCCCACCACAAAGAAGCTCAGTGTCTCTTTCTATTTGCAGTGCACACCTAGTTGCTTATTCCTCATCCGGCCCCTACGGCTCCATCTTCAGCGAAAACCAACCAAGTCAAATATCTGCTTCCCTGTTGGTGCTCGGGGGGCATCGGCCCGCTTTATACAAACTCAGCCAACGGGTTTATTCCACGATTCTGGGCTTCTTCCCCTAAAAAGATGAATCATTGTGGGACCCGAACAGCTTTGTCTCATCATCAGCGTGTCTCACCAACTTCCTCCCAAATAAATGATTGAGGGGGGTGGAGGTGGGGTTATAAACACTTCCCATATTCACATTAATTACCGCGTTCATTGTGCCCCAGGATGGAGCACAGAGGAGCTAATGACATCAAGAGACAAAGGACAGTGTGCATTTTAAGCAGATCGAAGACATAATGAGACAAAGCTTCTGATGAAAAATGAAAGAAAAAAAGAAGCGGCTTTGTTTTGATGGGATTTTTTTTTCCACCTGTCACTAAAGGAGGAATAATGAAGCCCGAGCAGTACTGACGTGATCTGTTTAGTGTGTGTGTGTGTGTGTGTTTTGGATTCAGAGCCTCCTCTCATGAATGAATGGAGCGGCAGCTGGAACATCTGGATCACCTTTCCCTTGCAAGGCATCGATCAGAATCACTTTATACAACTTTTGCAATTAGAAAAGCAGAAAAAAGAAAGACGGAGCTCATTGATGTGTGATCATCTTCACGTTGGAATAAACTGCGATATCTTCGTTCACTACTTGTCATTTAAAGGTGACCCCCCCCCCCCCCTCTACACTCACCGTCTCTGCGGGGCGCCTGCAGCATGGAGGCGTCTCTGATGCAACGCGCCCACCTCTCCGCCTCCCGGAGGTTGGCGAGCGGGTCCCGGACCGGCGCCACCCGAAAGCGCTGCTCCACCCGCTGCCGCGCCACCCCGGCGCTCATCCAGCGGCTCTGCAGCGGGTAGAAGTAGGCGCTGAAGTAGGCGCCGACGTCCGCGCCGTCCGGCCCGCCGTGCGCCCGGCATCCCACGCAGTCGGTCATGTTAAACACCAGCGTGGCGCCGCCGGGCGACGCGCAGATCCTCCGGACGGTCAGGCGGCTCTGCGTCAAGCTCACCGAGCACCGGAGCCGGTCGTTGAGCGCGTCGGTGAACTCCCCGTACAGCACGCCCGCGACCCCGTTCCGCTGGCGGGACTGGGTCCGGTTCAGAGTTCTCCATCCCGGGCAGGGGAGAGAGAGAGCAAGCGGGAGGGGGGTGGGGGGGGGGGAGTGGAGAGGGGGGGGGTCAGCGACGCGTCCCGCGGGCCGGTGTGCGGATGGCGGCTGCAGACGGCCGCTCTCTCCTGTCTCAGCACCGCTGTGGGAGCCGGTGAGCGCGGCTCCCCGAGTCTCTCTCTCCCCCTCTCTCTCTCTCTCTCTCTCTCCCCCCCCTCTCTCTCTCCCCTCTCTCTCTCTCCCCCCCTCTCTCTCCCCCTCTCTCTCTCTCCCTCTCTCTCTCTCCCAGTGACCGAGGGGGGGAACCGCAGTGATGGAGCCGGAGGAGCAGCCGACTGACAACGAGCATCATCATCAACATTTTAGCTTGACCTGCTTGCCGATGTCCACCCTAATAAGCCTTACAATTATGTAAAACTACAATAATGTTTAATTAAAACATTATTATATCAAAGTTAGTTATCTTAAAATCCAGATGTATTTGATTTCACTCCCATGTATGTTGTTGAATATGCATTTACAGGAAAAAAACCAGCTGTTGGGAGGTTTTAAAAAGCTCTTAAGTGTTAAAACTACATAGATGTAATATTTATACCGAAAACAAATTATATATTTATACTTTTAGAAATTTGTTAAATCATACCTTAATCAACATTGAGTTCATCTTCCTTTTATGGAACATGAACCTACTTTTCGCACGCAAATTGAACTTTAGCCACACCCAGTCGGTAATCACGTGGCACGTGACGTTTATGACGTATAAAAACGTCATCACGCCGGAGTCCGGTCCTTTTTCTCTTGGCGTGGAAGTGTAAGCAGGTCCTCCTCCAGCGCTCCGAACATGCAGCGGTCAGCCGGCACGAGGCCTCTCCGCCCGGCCGCGGACGAGCCGCCGTGAACAGGTAACGTCACGCTAGATGAACTAAAGTAGACGTAGTAATTTAACGGGGCGAGGCGCCTTCGTGGGAGTGGTGCTAGCTGCTAGCTAAGCTAACGCGTGGCGGAAGGCCGTATGGCATGATCCGTATCCACTAAAGGTTTATTCCATTTGCAATGTGTAGAACCAGTAAACCGCATCGTCGGATCCACATGGAAGAGCATTTTAACGCGTTGACTTTGTTGCAGGACTCGTTGGTCACTGTGGAATGAGGCTCCTCGTCCAGCCCACGTGGTCACGGCAAGACACGATGAAAGGTAACGCCGACTGTGCGTTATTATTATTCTATCCTTTGCTCTGCAGCACACGTGATGATCTTGTTATCCCTGTCTGAAATAACGCGTGCTGACATAAATTAAATCTGATGCCTGCTGATACCTGACGCGTGCGCGTGGTCTCGCGCGCTGCGGACCGAACGTCACATTTAATGGAATGTCTCGTCACGTGACAGGAGTGGATTTCAGCCTGGTGTAGTGGAAGACCGGAGCGGATCGTCCAGATTGACCCCCCCCCCTCCTCCAGCCAGCCCTACCCGGGGGGAGGGCGGCTTGAGGCCCTGTGAGAAGGTGTGTACCGCCCGGGCCTCCCGTGAGCTCCTGCCTGGTGTTCGGTGATGATAACCTAGGAAGTGCCGTCCGATGCGATAACTGACGATGGAATGAACTGTTACCTGAGGAACACCGTCACGCAGTTCGCTCGTGGTGGTGGTGGTGTTGTGCGCCGGTTACTGACTCGGATGTACTCTTCTCACCCCCAGGGTTTCTGTCTGCAACGCGTGCGGATGTTCAAGACGACACGGGGGAACCGAGAAGTTTCAACAGGTAAATGTGAAGCGGTGGAAGCGTGATGGTTGTAAAGCCAGTGATGAAACAAGTTATCCCTGTCTGAAATTAAGTGATGATTTAAGGTAACCTGAGGCTCTCGAACAAAGAAGCTGTGTGTTTGATGTCCATCGTTAAATGTTAATCTCACTTTTTATTCTAATTTGCAGATCAGATCAACGAGGTTGTGTCGACCAGTTTGGATGAATCCAGAACTCTGCTGCCACGTATTGATGATTCATGGAGTAGACTGATCTGAAACGTGTTTAAATAAAGTGCTTAAAACATTGGACTGTTTCAAATATTCTATTGAACTGGTTAAATGTTTAGAATGCAAACTAAATGTTCAGTTTAGACCACGTATTGTATGAACTATTAGCTTTTTAAAATTCGAGGTGGGTAAACTGAATTGTGATTGTACAGACCTCGTAACTGAAGGCTGACTACTAGTTTAAAGTCATGGTTTTAAAAGGCTTGCGGGTGATGCAGAGCAGTTCACCTCCAGAACAGGTGGAGTAGCTCGTTTTTGTCGCATAAAACCTAGTGACGTCTGTGTGGAAGTCGTTGGATTTATCATAGACTTTATTGCCCCCTGCGTCGCCGCTGATGCTTTTCATCGGACACATTTGTCCCGTATTTACCTCCACAACTTTGTTCCCCTCGACCGGCGTTAGTGGAGATCTCCCTCCGTGAATCAGAGGCCATCCGTGCGTCCTCATAGTTCGCCAATGACTGCTTGTAGAAGCAGTCATATTTACGCATTTCTTCCCACAAAAGCTCTTCAATCTAATTTGTTCTCTCAAACATTAGTTTTAATAATTGCAGTATTGTGCTATGGAAACTGAAATGTGAGACTCCGTAAAGGACTTAGACCAATCGCAGCCTTGCACCTCCTCAGAATGACTTCCACGAGGGGGTCTTGTGTCTGCGTCGCTCTGAAAACGCAGAAGTGTAAACTAGGCTTTAAGGCTGAATCCATGTGTGTTTACATGGATCCTGTCTGGTTGCCCCACAAGGCACTGATGGGAGGGTCGTAGACCAATGATTCACACTACAGCATTTATGTTCAATATGAAATGTGACCATTTATTTCTGATTAGTCCAGTGGGGAACTGAGGTGGGTAGACGCTATTTCTAAAATTCCAGAGGTGTGTAAAGTGTTTACCCTGCGCTTCAGGTGCGTAGTCACTAAATTATCCCCGGTCGGGGAACTATTACCTGATGAAACGTTGACCGACCAGAATGTTTCTCAAAGTTCTCTGCGTTACTTAAATAACTTTAATCCTACGGAGTCACCCAGCATCTGGTGGTCAATTCACATTGAAAGTTGATCTGTAGGATTTCTTCTTTAAACTCTCTAAAAAGATCTGCTCCTCTTGGAGGTATTCTCGGTCCTGTTGGGAGGAAGAAACATTCAAAGTCAAATTTACTAAGATAAGAGTCGTTTAAACTAAAGTCGTTTGTGGGCGAAGCAGCTGAAGAACCGCTCTGGGTTTTATCTATAGTGGCATGATCTATAGATCTATAGGTCAAGATAAACATGATCACATGACTAAATTGAATTTGCTAGTAGTCAGGTGGCAAAGAGTCAAGACTTTACTCCCTGATTGGACGTCTTCCAGGCTTTTACTGTGAAACTCGACGAAGAACGAATCCGTGTAACCTGGTCGCTGCTTTTCATGGGTTTTTATCTTCACGTTAAGCCCGTTACCTTTTCGGCCGTGTACTTCCACAGAGCCAGGCTCGCCTGGAGAGCCATGGACTGAGAGCTGGCGGACAACGGCGAGGGGGGGGCGTTCAGGGTCGACGATAGCACAGGATTTGGCAAAAATGAACCTGCATCTGCCGCTACAGACGAAACCATAACGTGCCCCATTTAACGTGTGAAACAGCTACTCGTACAGGTGACTCAAACAGAGTTGACCTCACCTGGTCCGTCGGCTGGAATCCTCCTCCGCGGCGTGGAGGCCATCGCGGCGTTTGGCCTCAGCCTCTCGGGGTCGTCCTGCAGGTGACCCACCCTCGTCCGCTCCTGTGACGGCGGTTGCAGGAAGTCACGCGTCGTGTGTTTCTCCCGCACGCAGCACACCCCCCCCCCCGCTCTGAACGCCGCCCCCAGGGACGCACCTGCAGGAGTCGCTGCTCTCGCTGCCTCAGCCGCTCCGTCTGGTCGTGGATGTTTCGGAGCCTCGCCTCGTGCTCGGCCTCCACCCGCTTCGCCTCCCGCAGCGCCCGCTCTCCCTCCTCGTACTTCGCTGCGGCGAGCTGCGTGGAGCACAGCGGGGGTCAGAGGTAAGACGACGACGCGGCGGCGGCGGCTGCTGCTGCTGCTGCTAGCGCTAACGGGACCGCGCGGGGGCGCGGCGTTACCTCGCTGAAGGCCTCCACCTCGTGGGCTCGTGTCTTGAGTCTCACGGCGGCGCCGCTTATTCTCTCTTTCTCTCGGTCCAGTTCTTCCCTCAGTCTGTCCAGCGTCCCCCTCTCCTGCGCCGCAGCCGTCTCCTTTTGTTTCAGCTCTGCGCGGTGGAGCTTTAAGTCGGCTTGTTCCTACAACAAGAACAAGTACTTACACGTCCCATAAACACGTAGTCCCGTAGACACGGAGCTTCCCTGTGGCTCACCTGTGCCAGGCTGACGATGGAGCCCTCTCTCTTCTCCAGCAGACCGCTGACCTCCCGCTCGGACCTCTCGTGCCGCTGCTGCTCCCGGCTGTGGAAGTGCGCCCAGTCGGCGGCCAGCTTCCTCCTCTCCTCCGCGCAGCGCTGCATCACCGACTTCTGCTCCTCCAGCAGTGCACTCTGACGACAGAAGGGGGAGGCAGGCGGTGAGGGGAGGAGGGGGAGGAGGAGGGGTTCGGTTGACGTGGCCGTGACCTGGCTCACCTTGGCTCTCTCCAGCTCCTCTCTTTCCATGTTGATCTGCACGCTGAGGGCGCGGCGCTCCCCCTCCACGGCCCTTTGGGTGGACTCGGCCTTGGCCTGCTCCGCTGTCATCTTCCAGCGCTCCTGAGGCGGATGGATGTAAATAAACCGGATGGTACCTCCCCGCTTTTTTTGTGCGTACTGCCAGGACAAAGCAGATGCAGGTATCATAAAAAAACCCTGACCTTCTCGAGCTGTCTCTGCTGCTCGCTGAGCTGAGCGTCCATCCTGGAAATGATGTCCTTGAGGTGAACTCTCTCCTCGGACATGGCTTTCTGCTCCCGGGCCAGACGGTCCTGCATCACTGAGACGTGCATTCAGAGAACAACCGTGCATTTAGACAAACGTGCACGTTGACCCAGTTGTACAAGGAGAGCAGATCTGTGCGTGTGTGTGTGTGTTTTTCTGAGGTACTTCGGAGCTGCTCGTCTCTTTGCCGGGCGCCGTGCTCCAGGCCGTGAGCCGTGTGTTCATGTGTGCTCTCCACCCGAGAACACAGATCCCCCAGCTGAGAGGAGAAGTGCTCCATCTGCTCCATCACCACCGTAAGAGACCTGGGAAACAATAATAGGAAGAGAAACCCAGACCCTCTAAGTAGAACAAAAGCATCCTGTTCTTGTTTGCTGTTGCTTCATTCTGTACATCAGAATTTTAAGCACTCATTCCTGGTATTATCAGCGCTGTCATCACTATTCTTAACAGAGCTGTCTTTTCTGTCTCATGGATTCTCTGTGCTGTCCTGCTCTTACGTCCATTCTGTACACATGACATACTTTACTCTTCTTCGCAGCGTGTGAAGCGCTCGTTGCAAAACATGTATTCAATTCTAATAACTGTCATAATTGTGAACAGGGACGGTGTCCTCTGAGGACATCTGACCTGGTCTGAGACGTTGCGCTTGTCACTGCATCGATCTCCTCGTCCTTTAATTTCTTCAGTCTCTGGATCTGGTCCTCGTGGTCTCTCTTCATCTCCAGGACGGACTTCCTGGTCGGCAGCGAAAGAGACAAATACAGCAAATACATACAAATATGAATAACTTCAAGTGACGATGACGGCCTTGTTACACAATCGAGAAAGAAGTCCCCGGTGCACCTCTGGAGGTCCCTGAGCCGCTCCACCTCTCGGTCTCGGTCTTGCTGGGCCTGAGCCACTTTGCGCTGGTACTGAGCCTGCAGCTCAGAGCGCTCCTGCTCTGCCGAGCGCGTCGCCGCGGAGAGACGCTCCGCCAGGTCCTCGCACTCCTGCCGCGCTTGTGCCTCCCTCTGGGCCGCCGATTCCTCCAGCAGCTTCACGCGGCCCCTGGAAGGTACGCAGGAGGGTGAGGCCTCTGCTGAGCCTGCAGACCTACGTGTGTACGTACTGTGTTTGAAGGATGACCCACTTGTGTGCGTTCTCCATCAGTTCCACATCCTGTTTATGCTGCTGCCGGACCTTCTCTAGCAGGATCTGGCTTTGCTCTCGCTCCAGCTGCAGAGTCTTCACCTGGACAACCACACAATGGGGGGGGGGTTGTGCATGTGCACAGAGGTGACATAGGAAGTAGAATATGGGGCAGCAGGGGAGGCCATCTATTAGTTTCCCTTAACAGCGCTGACGTACCTGTCCCTCCAGTTGGATGATGCGAGCCTGGTAGTCTGCAGGTTGCTGCGCTCTCTCTTGGAGTCCCTGCAGGGCCCCCCGATCCACGGCGCCCCCCAGGCCCAGAAACTGCTGGTGCATCATCTGTCACAGAAGAGAACGCGAGTCAACGACAAACCCGGGGATGGATGCGTCTTTGCATTTGAAATAAATCTACTTTCGATGTTCTCCACCTGCTGTTGTAGAAGCAGCTGCTGCAGACTGTCTGCTGACAGCGTCACCTGTTCAGACGATACAGACGAGGTCAAAACCAACCGATCAATCGATCATAACAGAACTGCCTTAATACAGAAAAAGCATCCAAACCTGTTGTTGGAGAGCAGGCGGCTGCTGCAGGGTTTCATCCGAGGCCTGACTTGGCCCCCTGGGTCCCTTGTGGGGTGGCGGGAGGTGGGGTTGGGCGTAGCCAACGCCAGCCGCAGAAACCGGCCAAGGACCAGTAGGAGGAGGAAGGCCACCTGAGGGAGGAGACAAGTTCAGAATGTGTCCGAGGTCTCCTTCAGCACGCAGGGACGGTTGCCGAGGAGCATCTGGGGGAGGTGGAGGGGGGAGGCGAGGCTGGGTGGTGCGAGAGGCGGCGCACAATGCGAGCGGTCGCAATCTCGTCTGCATCTACTGCAATCGAGTTGCCAGGGGAAGGGGCGTGGCTTCGAAGAGTCACCATTGTATCAGGAAATGTGATAGGAGAGTCATTATTGAGAAGAGCACCTCGCCGGGTCGTCTCTCCGGCGGGAGCCGAGCGAGCCGAGGGGCCGGCCTCTCCGAGGAAAGTGCCGCTGCACGAAACAACAAGGAGAGTTTGTGGCGTCAGTGGATTCAGACCGATTTGATTTTCAGACGGATGAGAAAAGAACCTCACCTGGTTTCCTTGGGAGATGAGAGAGCGTCCTCTCGGCCTCCGGGAGCTGGTTTACTGAAACAAAGAGCAGCTCATGGTTCAGAAGCGAAGAACGAGCCCCTTCCGTCCCCGTGTGTGTGTGTCGTTTGTTCTTTCGTTGTGTACCCAACAGTCGCCTCCACGTCCGCGTCTTCTCCCAGGCCCAGAGAGTCTCTCCGCCTGGGCATCTGGGCCTCACGGGTCCACCTGCTCAGCGCTCCTCCTTCTTCCTCCTCACTCGGCTGGCCTCCACAGACCTGTTTGCTGAGGTTATCGGCCTGACCACCAGTCAGGGAGGGGCGTCTCTCTAGTGGGGGGGGGAGGCGAGACTCTGTGGGGGTCTTGGCCTCTTCAGCGTCGGCCACTGGGGAGGTTTGGTCGTCCTTCGTCTTGAGGCCCAGCCAGTCGGCCGAGGAGCGCCGAGGAGCGGAGGGGGGGGTGGTGGGGGTCGGTTTCTTCTCCGGGGTCGAGGGGCCGACGTCCTCGCTAGAAAACCTGCCCATGACACGAAGGATCCAGCGTTTAAGTTTACAACAGCGGCCAAAGAGGCCAAATAGGGAGAGTAGCACACACACACCTGACAGACTGCCTGCGGGACTGGCGCCCTTCAGCCGGGGCTCCTATGGTGGGCTCATAGGCGCCAAAAGTCAGGGAATCTTCTAGCGGCGACACTGAGAATGGGAACAAAAGGCGTTATGGGAAAAATTTGGTGTCTGTTTTGAGATGCAGAGGACTCTTGTCACCTCTCGCCGGGGACGCCGACTCCTGGTTCTTCCTCTCGCCCGTCGGGGGTCGCTGTGACGTTGAGCTCCTCAGAATCTCATCTAGTTTTGTGCGAGGTCTCTCGCTCCTGAGGACACAACGGGACGAAAAAGAGACACCGTTAAGAGAAAAGCCCAAGTTGTCCACGTTTGTCTTTGTTTTTAGCAGCATCCTCAAAGCCCAGAAGCAGAAATGACCTTTTCCCGTTGAACAAAAGCGTGGTCTCTTTTTTCTGGGGTTGGTTTTTATCGCTGTCAAATCCCAGAGCATCCATGAGGTCGTCTTCATCATCAAATGTGAGGCCGCTTTTCTTTTTTGCTGCCTTGGCTGAAAGGAAACACACACACACACTGTACTCTGGTATTTGTTTGTGTGAAGTTTGGACACAAAGACGTGTGGAATCATTGAAAGGCTGACAGGTTTCACTCTTCAGGACAGGAGACGCTGAAGGAGACGGTGCAGATTTGGTTGTAGGTTTGGTCGTGGTTTCATCTGGAAGTAAGTGATCAAGATCCGCCAGCAGGTCGTCTGGATCTGCAGAGGGATTTACATTCACACAGACTGTAAAGCAGTAAATATGATCCTAATATGTTTTTAAACTTTAAAAATAAGCTCCACGTAACGGTGTTTTTTTTACAGTTCATTAGGTCGACCTGTTTGCACCAAAACAATAATTACTATTTGTGTTGTATCGCATTCATTGACATGTACAGGGGGGGAATAATTGTACAGGTGTACCAAAACACAAACTGCGCACTTCTATGTCCCGATTGGTCCATTCGTGCAGGATGACCATCTCACAGCCACTGAAACTACCTCCGGATGTTGTTCAACCACCACGTAAAAGGCCAAACACACGGACACCAAAGTACCTGTAGTGTCAGGTTTCTGACCAAGACCTTCTTCATCACCATCGTCATCACCAGTGTCTAAACGAAGGCAGCGGTTCAAGAGAAACAAAGCTACGAGTAAACCGCCGGGTAACATGGAGCTCGTCGTCGTAGCTGGACGGGACCGAGGCTCACTCACCGGAGAAGGTGAACTTCTTGTGGTTATTCGCCGTGGACGAGGGCGCAAAGGTTGTCCTCCTCCCTCCCGCGACGGGTTCATCTGAGGACGCAGGAGGAGACACGACTCTCTCTGATTGCTGCTGTGAACGCCCAGTCAAAGCTGGGAGGGATGCAAAGCGAATAAGGAGGGAGCAACGTGTGCGCTGAATTACCTGCTGCCTCTGGTTTTAATGTACTTTCTAAGGTGGACGACTCTTTCCTCAGCCCGTCGTCACCAAGCGGCTTTGTTCGTGCAGGAGCTGAAATGGGCTTTTTCTTTGACGCAAAAAGGTCAGCGTCCATGTCGTCCATGTCCTGTGCAAGGAGATTTTTTTTTTTAAAAGTGCTGACCGCTCCAAAGATGAACTTTGTGCTTTTACGGAGTTTATAATGACCAACCTTCAGGTTCTTCAGGATGTCGTTTGGGTCTGCTGCTGAGACAGAGTCCTGGATGAAAAACAGAATATAAAGATTCAAATGCAAGACTGAACGTACACATTTATCTTTTCACATCTGTGTTTCCATACCTCAGTGTCCCCGTCCCTCTTTACCTCCTCTGCCAGCAGGCTGAAGATGTTATCAGTGGCAGAAGTACTGGAAAAGAAAAAAACAACAACTAAGAGTTAAGATGTGTAATTGGTGGATTGTAACTCTGTGATTCTCCCAACTTACCGAGTTAAAGGTCCACTGCGAGTTGCTTTTCTCCTCACTGGAAGGTCTGGTGAGTGAGCTGTTTAACAGGAAATATTATACAACACAAAACTCACAGTCATAGCACAATAATATTGACAAATTGGTCTGCTTGCTGGTTTTGATCAACCAATAAACTGTCAAGCGAAGCATCTCCAAATGAACCAAGTGAAAAGGATATTATGTTAATAATATTATATTATTATTATGTTAATAATAATACATTATTATTGTATTATTATTATTATTGTTTATGATTAAAGATGCTTCATTCCGATTATACTGCTGATTATAAAACAACCAAAACACAATTGTTTTATTTTGTTTATTCTATGTGACAAGCATTTTGTAACCTAAATGCTAAGTGAACGCATTTCTGTTTTCCTGCTAGAAAAATAATAATACTACAAGCATAAAACAACAACTATGCGGTATGTTACAGAATTTAAAACACGTAAGGAACTTACTTTTGGATAGTTTTCCCTTCTTTGCATCCTATAACGTTACACAACACGAAAATGTGATTTTACGTTTTGTCCAGCTGGAATAAATCTCGATAGCATATTAAAATGTTGACACTTTCACCAATTGAACTCACCATTTTGTAAAATCTCCTCCGCCAGTGATTTAAAGCAGTGAGCTAATTTAGCCAGCTAGCCACCCTAGCTAATTTAGCCAAGGTTAGCTAAATCTGATCAGGCGTCACCGGTCTCCATGGGTAACCAGTACTGCGCGTGCATGTAAACGACCCACTCGTCCATCGTGGTTATTTAACGTTAATGCCGCGCGTATCGTTTGGTGCTTTAATAACATCGTGTATCGTCATTCGGCTTCTTAGAAATCTCCCGGTTAAAGTTACATTAACGTTAAACATGGAAACGGAACGCGGTGGCGCTGCTACAGCTGTAGCACCCGGCGCGTGCGGGACAGACGCTTCCTGTTTTGCAGCCCGCAGTGCATTGTGGGTGTAGTAGTCTTTAACGTGTCCTTTAAGGAAGCGGGTTTCGGTTTGGGCTGTGTTTAAATGCGGAGGTGCTTGTTGTGGACTTGTGAACCCTCGACGTCTTCCGCTGCTTTATTTGGTGAATCCCAACATTTTGACCACCAGGTGGCGTCACAGCTTAAAGAAGCAGTCAAAGGAAATCAGTTTCAACAAAACTGAAGAGCTGAATAATTCATATTCTTAGCCTGCGCTTAATTCAGTTGGGTCTGGGTCTGATGTTGCACTCTCAATCATCTGCTCAGGCAGAATTAATGGTTATGACTCTAACTAGATATGAATGATCAAAAACAATATCAATTCCAACTATGGAGGCTCATGAGGAAAATAAAGGCTGCACTGATGTCATTATTATACAAACGAGCTTCTTTTTAATAAATCATCAGCGAATCAGACACACTTGTTAAGTACAAGTGAGAGACACGATTCAGAAGAACACAACAGCACACAGTTGCCTTTGATTGCTCTTTTTTTTTTTTGCATTCACAACATAAACCCGAGACACACATCTTCCATTTATGATACAACACATGACTTCAGCCACGTTTTATAAAGAAAGTACAGGTCACTTATGAGATCTTACAGGAAGATACTCTTTAAATGCATTTAAAGAGTATCTTGCATCTTTCCTCATTCATATTCAACACATTAACAAAAAATCAACCCAGGAAAAAGCATTTTACAACTATTGCTCTTTTTTATGCAGAGGCACAACCCACAATTTACCATTTTTACCCTGATCAATATTAGCATCGTCCAGCATTGCACCGGTTTTAGGATGATTATACACATTTGTCTCTCGGTCGGCGTTTCCCAGCCGTGGATCCAGCAGGCCTCATGGATCAGGTAGCCTGCGGGGAGACGTGGCGATGGCTCTCAGGTGCATCAGATCAGAAGGTCACGAGAGAAAGCTACAAAAAGGTCCCACTGTTGCGTCACGGTGAACATTACGTCTCGAGAGCAGAAATCCCTGGAAAAAAAGAAGAACAATAATGTCCATTTGTGCTCTTGTTCATTCCCGTTGGAATGACTCAGCAATCAGCTGACGCTCACCTGACTCGATGGGAGCCGACTGCAGGTCAGGGTGCATCACAAGGGAAGAAAAAGCAAAGTCATGCCTAGAAAAGAAGCTGAACGGGTGTGTGCAACCATAGCAATACAAAAAGAAAGATAAGAACGTGCGATCTAATAGAAGTCTCCATGGTGACCTTTTCAGCCGCATTGAGCTTTGTGGTTGTAAAGTACTTATGTTGATATTAATACGCCTCAGAAGAGATGACTTCTGAATCATTTAGCGGTGTAGCAGTGAGGGCTTGAAAGCTAAATGTGGGGCAGGCGTCTCAGCTCTTTATGCATCCGTGTTCCACTGCTCCACTTTCCACTTGTAACCCACCCCACACACACACACACACACACCACCTCCACATGAATCACAATGTGTCTTTGTCCGTCCGTATGTTGTCCTCTGTTGTGCACTTTTCTTCGGGCGGCTGATTTTCAATTTGAAAGATATTTATTTTACAAATTTAGCATTTTCCAAATTTTTGTTGCTAAAATAATAAATACGAACACTGCTGCCCTCAAACATTTTTAAGGCACTTTATTTTAAATTAGCCACGTGGTCCTTTAGTTGATGAGAAAACGACTCTACTTATTTATGTCTTCAGTAAACATTGTAAATATGAATTTATGGCCTTATCATCTAGTTTCAAGTCTTCTTCCATTAATCATGATGCTCTTCTTACTAAATTATGGTACATTTAGAGTCAAGAATACTTTAGGGCGGGTCTATCCCGTGATTGACAGGTCGCTACCAGAGACGACAACCGTTCAACGGTTGCAAACGCAAATCAGTTGCGACTTCTGGATTGAAAACGACAGTCAACAAGCTCGGTGCCCTTTTGATTTACATTCATATCCTCCTGTGGACGTCCAGCAGGCTGCACATCCTCAGTCTGACTCCATTGATGGTGTCCTTACTCTGCGACGCTCACTGTTGTCTTCTGGGGGTTTCTGCTGCTCCGTTGCTCTTCCTGTGAGGCGCGTCTTCGTCCCCGGTGTCCCCCTGCCTGCGATACAGAGGACAATACTCAAAGTAACACACCCCTGTCTCCAGACAGTGTGGGACACTCGTGAGAGCAATGGAGGCTTTCGCCTGCTCCAGAGCTCTGGTGCATGTTTTCTCCTCCTCAAATCAACGATGCACACACGTCTGCCCCAAACACACACGCACTCTTGCTCTATAAGTAGCTGATGTGCAATTATTTTGTGATATTTTACCCACAATCCACCAGCTGTTTGCGTCAGACCTGTTTCTAAGCGGGAATCCACTTTGGACCTTCTAATGAACCCGCTGGGCGCCTCGAGGGCCCCCGGCCCGGTACTCACGGTTGGATCCTGTTGGAGAACCACTGACGCAGGATCAGAGCGATGGTGGTGAGGACCATCAAAGTGGTGCACATGGTCCCGAAACCCGCCTCGTGGGGGGTCCCCGACGATGCCTCACAGCGCCCGGCGGCGCTCTACTCCCATTGAAAGGCTTGAGTGGCAGAAAGGCGGAATTCTGTGGCGGAGCAGTCTGACTATTTCAGTCTCCCCCTCTTGGCGCTGGCTCATGACTGGGGGGGAGATTAGCTCGGAGGATTAGTTTGGATCAAGGATGGAGGAGGTAAACAGAGCATGCTGCGTGTTTTCTGTTACGAGCACAACCGCGGCCCGGCAACGTGCCGTCGATGCCGCTCCAAAGGAAATGAACACCAACGTTCTTCTGTGTGAAGGAACGCGCACACGTTGTGAAAGGGCCCGTTGAGATGAGCTCGAAGCGGCACTTCAACACCAAGTGTTCCTGAGACATGGAGGGAAAAGAGAGCGTACGGGGGAATAGATTACTCACTGCAGAAAAAAAAGGACCCATAGAGAAAACGGTGTCGACACACATATTCAAAGGATCCATTGTGGCAGTGAGATTTTTCTTTGTATTTTTATTTAAAAGTTGTGGTAAATACAGATAGAAAAGTAATAATGAAAATAATGTAAACCGTCACAATTACCTCTTAGAAAATGTAAAAATGTCTGCGTAATATGATAAAGGGAAACATCACATGATATTGAAAAGAACGGTATGCACAGGTCTTTTTTTATCCTTTTTCCTTTCTGGATATACACATTTGGTAGAAGGCACATCCAAGTAAAATGTGGCCTGTTGTCCACTGCTGGGTTTGTGTTTGCAGTTTCCCCCACTCTCCATCTCTGACACACACACACACATAGAGTACATGTCCCATAGCCCACTATGATAAAGTTATACATTAGACATTATTCCCCAGATACATTGCTCCTCGTCAAAGGTCGGCCCAGTTGAAGAATCCCTCTCCGTCAAAGCCGCCGGACGGACATTACGAGTCGACCGCGGTTAAACACACTCAGACGAGGAGCTCCGCTCGGTTGGCGTCGACAGCTTCGTCCAGCCCGCCTCCTCGTAGACGGCCGTGATGCTGCGGCACACCATGGCGAAGAACTTGGTCCACGCCGCGCCCACCTCCGGCGTCACCAACGAGGAGAACTCTTCTCCGAGGACCTCCAGGATCACGCCACTCAGGATCTGGACCAGACAACGGCAGACAGCGGGTCACAGGGTATTTCACAAAACTCCTAATTCTTTCCTCATCAGACCCCGATTGAAAGGTTCTTTATGATCTCTGTGGGACACATTCAGAGACTGTATTTAAGAAGTGGGCGGGATGTGAACCATCGGTCTGTGAGCGCCAGCATGCTTTATGGTCTGTTTGACTCTAAATGGACCATAGTTCAATAAGTGAACATCATGCTGTATTGAAGAAGACCTGAAACTAGAGACTGAGACCATAAACCCGTGTTTACAATGTTCACTGAGGGAATAAATCAAGAGAGAAGTAGAGTCATTTTCTCATAGACGTCTATGGGAGCAGAGGAGTCGCCCCCTGCTGGTCACTACAGAGAAGTAGAGTCATTTCCTCATAGACGTCTATGGGAGCAGAGGAGTCGCCCCCTGCTGGTCACTACAGAGAAGTAGAGTCATTTCCTCATAGACGTCTATGGGAGCAGAGGAGTCGCCCCCTGCTGGTCACTACAGAGAAGTAGAGTCATTTCCTCATAGACGTCTATGGGAGCAGAGGAGTCGCCCCCTGCTGGTCACTACAGAGAAGTAGAGTCATTTCCTCATAGACGTCTATGGGAGCAGAGGAGTCGCCCCCTGCTGGCCAGGAGCGAGAACGCACCTTTTAAAAACATTTTGCATTTTGCATACGTACATCCGCCCTGCAGCTTACGCTTCCTTCAGTACACATCACGGGTCCCGAGTATGAATTATCGCCTGCGTGTGGATTCTGCTTTCCATGTACCTTAAAGTACACGGGGTCCACCTTGTGTCGCAGCGCGTGCGACTTGCCCACCAGCCTCAGCACCGAGGCCACCTTGTCCGCGCTGCCCAGGCTCTCCACCAGCGTGTTGAGGGCGCTCATGACTCGGCGAGCGTGCTTCCTCAGCTGGCCGCTGCTCTCCAGCTCCTCCGGCTCCTCGATGTCCTTGAACTGGCTGAAGAACTGCTTGGACGAGGGGAAGTTCACGAAGAGCCTGCCGGGGAGGGAGATGGGAAACCTCTCAATCGCTAATCTCATCGCCCTGCAGTCGGAAGCGGCTCGATCCAGAGGACCCACGTTTTGTTTTCTGTTGTTCCAGCTGGCGAGATACCCTGAGCAAACAGCCGCACCGGCAGGGGAAGGAAGCACATTTTCCCTTTAGCGGTTTTCTTTGTGGTGCAAAGGGGAAAAACATTCAGCTGTTGAGAAAATATGACAGATCACTACCGATGATAATATGACCAATAAAGTCACACTATTCTCCTTTAGCTGAAGAACTGAATCATGGTTTGCATTCCACATGTTTATCCCAAAGGTTGATCCAGCTCCAAATGTGTCTTTTTGTATTTGTTTGTCTCTTTTCGATGTATCGCCGGGATCCGTTGGTCAAAGTTCTTGGAGCAAATAAATCATAACATCTGCACTTTAAAAATGAGTGCAGGAATTTTTTATGTGATAAGCCATCGCAATTTAAGGTATTTGCGTAAATTAAGCGTTTGAAGAAAGCAATTTGTGGTTACCACAGTCTCGCTCCAGAAACAACAATGTTGTATTATTTATGGTTTAGTTTCCTGGTCTAATATTTATTTGCACATCTGGTTATTTCCGAGACAAATACAGTATCACAAAGAATTGGGAAAAAAACCAACGTAAAAACACCCTCTCGCCCAGTCTGGGAAGAGGGCCAGTGCATCTGGCCAAATCGGCCCCGTCCACATTCCTCCCATATCTCTGAAGAGCATAGATGCTTATACGCTTCATATGTGTGCTGAAGGGAGGAGGGGGCCTTGTTGTTCTACCACAGAGACGTCTTCCTAAATTTGACACGTTGGACCTCTAACCCTGAAGACCTTTTCGTTCGAAGGGTCCACGTCGAAGCTGAGGTTTGGGGGAGAGTGCTGAAGCTTATGGATCAGTCCCCATTTCTCAAATTCCTGAGGCTCGCAGGGCGCTCGTGGAGGAACGTGGAAGAAGAAAACATGGTTGAGTTAATTTAATTTAGGGTCAAACTAAGACGAGCGGGATGCTGATTGGTTCCGCTCGAGTGCTGCGCTTTTGTTCCCCCGATGGCGAGAAAACTGTGTGAAATCGTCCTGATGGGTCGGGACAAGTTTGCGCCCTGCTTATTCTCAACTTTCACCTCCTGCAATCAATGAAGAAAGAAGTGCGCGACGGGCCGTGCCAGCGGTTCCCCTTCGGATGTTGTGTTTTTTTTGTGCGCAGTTTGAATGACTTCCTAGACTCTCTCACACTTTGCCAGCACACAAAAGAGTCCGGCTGCCAGTGTTGGAGACGTGTTGGAGACGTGTTGCTTCAGGTTGCCGGCCTTGTATGAATCATCTGAAGCATTACCGGCTCCTTGGGAGGGAGCACTTTGAGCGCCAAAGACGTCCAATTAACGGATTACAGTGTTTGACGTTTGCCTCTACACGGTTTGACGAACAGGATTAAGAGGAAGGCGAGTGTCACAAGCAGAAATATGAGCTCCTTCGGACGGACGGGAAGCTTCTAAAGTCAACGAGACAGTTTGGATCCAGCAGCTGTATTCGATGGGAGGATGATGCCACAGTGTGGGTTAAGTTAATGCGTCCTTGCTGCTTTTGTTTGGCAGAAAAGCATCAGCAGACCTTCTAGATCCGGCAGTTATTTTACAAAAGGGGGGAAATGCTGACTTGATTTTATCATCGGCGAAGTAATTCAAGTGCAAGAAATGAGATGAAGTCCAAAGAGTCGGCCCCTCATCAGCGCGTGTACTTTTTGTTGCACATCCATTTTTAGTTTCACTATTTCACTATATTCCACCCAAACCCTCCACGAGACCCGGAGATACTTGACCTCCCTCGCTTGGTGGGATGGGTGGGGGGGGTGGGGGGGGGGCGTTTTTTCGGGGAATAACCTGCAGCACTCGAGCACTGAGGGTTTGACTCTCATCCCGACCACCTCCGCGGGAAAACAACCCCCGGAGAAGGTCACTGTGATGGACGCCCACAGAGGCACATCGTCTGAGGCCGCCGTGCTTCTATCAAAACACATCTTAATGGGAATGTTGCATTCGTTGATTTATAGAACCCGTTTAAACCCCCTTCTTTTTGATCGGTGCTTTTGGATCACTTACCTTAAAAGTCACCCGTCTGTTATGCGACTTATCTTTGTTTGCTGATGGTGATAACAGATGATAACTCGCCTTCGTGTGACACGCAAGAGCTGATCGAGCTTCGCCCGTCTTATCACACACCGGTCCGCCCTTCCTCTACATCTCCCTAACTCCTCCGGTGTGGCGATTTCCGGCTTCATGCAAGAGATTAAAACGAGGAAAAACCATCACCTGACGAGTATGGCCACGCCGACGTCATCGCAGCTCTGGTAGACCTTTGCCCACGAGTCCTGGATCATCAGCCTCTCCTTGTCGGTCAGAGGGCTCGGCCTCTCCAGGGGGTCGCCCTCTCCATCGCCCTCGCCCCGCGTCCTCTCCATCCGGAAGCTCTGTGCACAGCTCAGCACCTGCAGAAAGGCGACGCAGACGAGAGCAAGGAACCAAACGCCAAATTTCTACCTCTTTGCCTCGTTTACGTCTTTTCTTGGTAAGAGAGGAAGAAAAATCAGAAGAAGAAGAGGGGGGGCTCTTCTTCTTCGCTCTCCACCTCTGGATCTGAGTGTGAGTGAAGAACAGGCTGCAGAAACACAAGAAACACAGGCAGCGAATGAGGAGGAGCCTGTGTACTCCCTCTCTCTCTCTCCCTCTCTCTCCCCCCCGTCTCTCTCTCACCTCTGGAGGTGGCGTTTGATAAAAACACGATGAGATATGAAGCAAATCCTCCAAACGTGCATGTAATGTAAGATTATGATTCTGAAATGAGATGAAAGGAGCCCTCTGACCTTTTACCTCCGTCCAAAGCGGGAGATTAAACTGTGGTGTTGAATTTCTCACAAAGCCGGCGTAAACGCGGGGACACAAATTTAAAGAGCGTGACCAGAATCTGTTCTATTTTGTGTCCGTTTTGTGCTTCGGTCAAGATCCACATTATTTCCCCGTACGCACAGACCCTCGAGAGAGAGAGACACGCTCGCCCCATTTGCACATTTCTCCACCTGTGTTTTGACAGAGGTCATCAGGAGGAATGTTCTCGTTTTAGCGCTTATGTGCGGCGGCCCGGGGCGAAGCTGCCAGGAATCTGGGCGCGAGCCTTCAGGACAAAAGACGTTCAAGCCCAAGCTGAGCTCGAGGGGGGCCGTTTGTCCCCCTGAGCGGGGACGCCCAGGTGCCAACAGTCAACGGACGCGCGTGAAACATTGACAGAGTCCTTCAGAGTTCACCGTTAACCTTCAAGTTTGTGGAGCCGGAGGAGGGGGGAGAGAGGGGGGAGAGGGGAAGGCTTTTTAGGGCGTTTCTGGGATTGCTGTGCCTCAGAGTTCATGAACGTGTCAGGCTGCATATATCAAATATCAAACTGGTTTCTGAAGAATCTGGCATCGGCGGCTGGTTCAATAAGCCGCCGTGGATCTGGAGAAACGAGGCGAGACGTCTTAGTCAATGATTGTTGATGCTGCAGCGGTTTTATGAGTCCATAAAGAACATTTGACAGCGCTTTGTGAATACTTTTGACTGTGTACCGCCCAGCCCGGAACATTCAGATCCATTTTTGATAAGAATAATGTTGTACCTTTGACCCTCACTCATCCCCTGATGTATCCTAACGGATAATGACATCTAGTGGACAGTCTCAATATTTGAGAAAAAGAGTTTTTCTTAGAAGGCACTTTGTATTAAAAGCTAAAGCCCATAATAATTAAAATAACACTTTTTTGTGCCATCGTCCAGATTAACCCACCTGACTTTGTTTTATCCGTCGTTAACATTTTAGATTTGTTTCCATTGAAATAATAATTACTTTATGACTGAATTTGCTGTTGTAAATATTACTCACAAACAATATTTTTTATATCTGTACAATTTTTGCACTTATAATCCGGTTAAGAATAATTCGTTTTTTAAATTCAATAAATATCAACGCATTGATTAAGTTGTGTACGTATTGTTAGATCATTTTGGTAATAAAATAATACCTACCAGATTAGAAAGGGAGGGTTGAAGCTTAAGTCTAAAGAAAAGGCAGGTAACAGCTGTTACACTTACCAAAAATACAGCAACATACGTGATTCTTAAACAGACACATGCACATTACATAAAATATGTTATTGTTCTCTAGAAATGTTGCTTAAAGAAAACACCGTTTTGACTTTCCGTTAGTACCGATTTCCACCTTTTCTAAGCATTTCAAATGAAGTACTTCCTGTAACTGCGTGAGTCGCGTGACCGTCAGGAACGACGTACCGCGGCCAACGCGACTCTCCCTACATACGGCTCTGCCTCGTTTCACTCGGGGTCGCATTTTGCCCCGTGACGTCTCTCATTTGGGGGGGCGGGGCCCTCGTCAAACAGGAAGTATGACGTAACGTTTATTTTGGTAGAAACACAGCCGCGGCAGAGGTGACGGGGAAAAAAATGGAGCAAAACGTTGTGGATTACAAGGTATTCACAAGTTTCACTCCACTTTGTTGTCGGTTTTTAAACGCGTGACTTCACGACAACTTTTCTTCCTCTCGACTGCGACATTTTGAACCTCAGCGCCTCGATGTTGTGGTATTGTTGTTTACACTTGAAGCTAGCTGCGACATCTGGATTAAATAAGCGGGACTCGGTTGTGTGGCTCGCCGATAGATTGATCTAAAATCGGTCAAAGTCAGTCGATGCCGGGTCACCGTAGTAAAGTCTGTTTCTTCCCCAGCTGACCTGACCTGTAGTCACGTGATACGCTTCATGTGATCACCTGTTTATCTGGACGGGCGCAGGCGTTACTGTTGTTGTCTTTCCATTCTTTGTCGTATATTACAGTGCATTTGATACATTTGGTTGGATAAAACATCACGATCAGCAGATTAATGGATGAAAAACGTGAGCTACTCTTAATTTCCAATCACACTTTTATGATTTATATAGTCTACATTAATTGTGTTTTTTTTTCTCCCCTTAAGCTGATATTTGAGAAAGAGGGAGTTTACCTCCACACAAATGCCAAGAGGAGCAACCATGACACGACCATCCCAGGGTTCATCCGCATCGTGGAGCGGGTAAGCCGAGTCCTTGGCACACACAAGCGCCTTCAATCGTAGGAATGCCGGGGTAGTAAAGCGTGCTTCTGTTTCAGGCCGGCCTGCCGGCTTTAGAGTGGAGCCCAGTGGAGGAGGAAGGGCGCAGCGCCCCGGCCGTCCTCTACACCAAAAAGGTCAGTCGCCGTCTGCTCGCTTCAAATGAGTATTCATTCATGTGCTTACATAGCTGTCGTCGCTCCTCTTCCTTCGCAGGATGGAGAAGGAGGAGTCGAGGATACAAACTTCGACCCCGGGTATGAGCCGGACTGGGCCGTCGTCAGCAACGTGAAGAAGGACCGCGATCCGGTTCCGGCCAAAGACTCAGGTGCCGTTTACTCGTCTCGCGCTTTCGTTTTCCGACGGTTAAGTCAAGAAAAGGCGACGTCACGGCTAAGTTTCCCCCCGCAGGTCAGTGGTCGTTCTCGCTGCCTCTCTCGGAGCTCTACTCCCTCCGGAGGGCTCGGTTCTCTCTGGGCAGAAACTTCCTGGTTCTGACGAGTCGAGGGGGCCACCCGCTGCCCGCCCTGCACTTCCACAGAGGAGGAACCAGGGAGCTGTTTAGGGCCCTGCAACGTTACATCGTCCTGGACCAGTGAGTGCCGCCGCCGCCGCCGCCGCCCCGGTTTGTCCGCCGGTCACGTGGCTGCGGAGGGCGTCACGGTGGTTCTGTTGTCATCACCAGGTCGCCGGTTGACGGGCGGCTCTTCCTCGCCTACCCTCACGACCCGGGCGCGCTCTCTCAGTCCTTTGAGAAGCTGCAGCTGTTCGACGACGGCGGCGCCGATCTCGTTTCGGTGATTTGCTTTTATTATTTATCATGAAATCTTTGTTTTTTATCTTGTTGATCGATACGAGTGACGCACCGACCAAAGTCCCACCGGCTCCGTCATGGAGCGCGAACCCGGCATGTGACCTTTGAGTGTCTGCGAGCAGAAGAACTCTCTCGAGCTCGCTTGTGACCGCTTTCTTTGTTTTGACCGCTTTGTCTGTTCCCGTGGTGACCAGAGATTCATCCAGGACCCGTACGCCACCACCTTCGGTGGATTCTCCAAGGTCACCAACTTCTTCAAAGCCGCCCTTCGACCTCCGGGATCCCCGGGCCACTTCCGCACTGCTCAGGATCCCAGTCTGCCGCACCAGTGCGACGAAGAGCCCGACTTCGAGCTCATCAACTGCGTACGAGCACCTTGGAGCAGATTGCAGCTGCTAAATGTTAGAAGAACCTAAACCTGTTGTTAATGGTTGACTCCCTCTTTCCATGAAGGGCGTCGAGCTCGGTCCCAGACCAGACGTAAGCCGGGGACAACCACTGGACAAATGGCACCAATTTATGGACCCAGAGGGGCGAGTGCAGGACTCTGAGAAGATCAAGGAGATTATATTCAAAGGGGTGAGGCAGGACGCCCGGTCACAGTGTTTACTCCATCAACCTCCTACCCGCTTGACGTGTGTGTTTGTCCATCACAGGGTGTCTCACCAGCTCTCAGGAAGGAGGTGTGGAAGTTCCTCCTGGGCTTTTATCCGTGGAACAGCACGTTCAAGGAGAGAGAGGACATTCTGCGGCTAAAAACGTGAGCGTTTGGGTCGTTCATAAAAAAATGTTCTCTCACAAACTGCACATAAAACAACGCAGTCAAACGCTTTATAATCTGTATAATATTAACTTGAAAGGTGCTTTTGTTCTTAAGCTTCTCCCGTTAGTTGCCGTCATCGGGCTAAACTCATTGAGTGAGCAGTGACGGCGTTTGAGTTTTGTCTCAGGCACATTGTGAGGTCCAATGACGCCAACATTTCTTCCTGTAACTTTCCACCAGGAGCCCGATGGGGGATGTAACCGTAAAATCTATGACACATTATCTTTAGATATGAGAAGCCGGGAAGACTTCAGTCTCTTTTTAAAGCACAACAAATGGCCTGAAATGTCAAACTGTCCCCGTGGGACGCCTTCCTCTCGCCTGCAGGGACGAGTACTTCAGAATGAAGGTGCAGTGGAAGTCGGTCAGTGAAGAGCAGGAGATGAGGAACTCCCTCCTCCGGGGATACAGGAGCCTGATTGGTGGGTCCCGCTGCTCCTCACCCAACAGAAGATCTGTTCACGGGGGTCAGTTTGTTTGAACCTCCTTTGTTCTGTCGCGGCAGAGAGAGACGTCAACAGGACGGACAGACACAACACCTTCTTCTCCGGGAACGACAACCCGGGCCTGGCTCTGCTGCACGACGTGCTGATGACGTACTGCATGTACAACTTTGATCTGGGTATGTGGGACGCTGACCCGTACAATGTAAATGACTAAATGTTAGTCAGACTGTCTTCATTACTGAGGACTGATCTTCACAGTTGTTCATTGTCATTTTTTTGACATTCGGAGCTGGACAACGACACCTTCAGGTGACCCCGTTAGATGATTAAAAGGAGGTTTGAGGTCCGTCCGCCTCACGCTTGTGCTTCCATCCGCCCAGGTTACGTCCAGGGGATGAGCGACCTCCTGTCTCCCCTCCTCTTCGTCACCCAGAACGAGGTGGAGTCCTTCTGGTGCCTGACGGGCTTCATGGAGCTGCTGGTGAGGGAGTGACCGCTTCTGTTGTGGGTGGTGCAGAAAGTTCACTCCTGCTGCTTTGGTGCCCTCGAAGGATTTTTACGTGGTGGCTAAATTCTTTAAAAAGAAGACTGGATGTCTGACACTTTGTTAAACTCGTCTCCTCCGCAGCACCAGAACTTTGAAGAGTCCCAGGAGGCCATGAAGAAGCAGCTCCTGCAGCTCAGCATCCTGCTGAAGGCCCTGGACCCGGAGCTGTGCGACTTCCTGGGTCAGTCAGCCGATGCTCACATTCAAACAAAGTCAGGTCGTCGACCGCGTTTCCTGCAAAACTAGATTCCGCGGCTCTTCTGTTTCGTTTCGTTTTTCTCGGGTGGGGTTTGTTTTTCTCGCCGGCTCACAGGAGTTGAAAGTGAAACCTCTACCGTCTCCCCCGCCAGACTCTCAGGACAGCGGCTCTCTGTGCTTCTGTTTCCGCTGGCTGCTCATCTGGTTCAAGCGAGAGTTTTCCTTCGAGGACATCCTCACCATGTGGGAGGTGAGCGCTTCTGCCTCTCACCCGCTCCGCCCGTCCCAGCAGAGGCAGATGCTGCTTCATCACGTGCCGATCACGAGCCGCCGCTTCTTTTGAAGACGGAAACAGTCGTAGCCTCAATTCAGCTCAATTGTTCTCTTGAGAACGTCTTATTTTCTTCATTTTTTAAAAAGGTCATCTGGTCCGGTCTGCCGTGCGACAACTTCCACCTGCTGATCGCCTGCTCCATCCTGGAGTCCCAGCGGGGCGAGCTGATCGGCTCGGACCACGACTTCAACACCATCCTGAAGGTGAGCGACGGTTAACTCCACCCTCAAGGTGAGCCCTGTGACTTCAGCGCCACCCCCCAACCCTCCTCTGTTCCTCTCTGCAGCACATCAACGAGCTGACCATGAAGTTGGACCTGCAGGGCGTCCTGCGAGGGGCGGAGGCCATCCACCTGCAGCTGACCCAGTGCAAGGTGAGGCCGCGCGGCGGACGCCGCGTCTCCGTCTTCCGCCGGCTGAGGGGCTGAATGTAAAGCGTGACCCCCCCCCCCCCCCCCTTGCCTCTTCCTCTCAGGAGCTTCCCCTGAAGGTGCAGCAGGTCCTGGGACTCTACAGCCCGTCCAGCTCCGAGGAGGAGAGCCCCGACCGCCCGGCCGGCGAGACGCAGCGCCTCCTCGGCGAGGCGCAGGGCGGCGCCGCCGATGCCTCCGGCCCGGCACGCGTTCCCACCTATCCTTAAACGCGCGGGACGGCCCCGGGGACGGAGATACATGAACGGTCTTTATAGAAGAAGCGTATATAGATACTTAGAGGCCGTGTGCGATCCGCGGAGATGGAATTACGAGCGCCGTTGCTGCGTGTCGGGCGCAGAGGGCGCCGCCGAGGCTTCTTTCTTTTCTGAATGTTACAATTCAAGATGTAATGAAAACACTATAGAGCGAGTCCTCTTCCTGCGTCCTCCTCTTGTTTACATGTCCCGTGTCTTTCTACTCCTCCTCCTTTTACCTCCCGACAACTTGTTTTAGTCGAGTCGTGTCCGCCTGTGAGGCAGCGTCCTTCGGCCCCTCTGACAAGTGAAGAAGACAAAGGGGGGCTTTGTTAGCGTGACGCCGGCGCGATGCAAAGCTGCCTGCATGCCTTATTCTTTTCTCCCGTGTGGTAACGTTTTAATCCTTGTAATTATCCACATGATGTCGGAATGCTTCATCCGCTGATTATTTCCAAATAAACTGTTGAATTTAAAGGCGGTTTCTATTTATATTTCTGTCCCACTTACTGGTGAATCCAGGCTCTGATATTTATGTATTCACGGGTTTGTAGCACAGATTTGTTCTACAACTCAATTTTATATGTAGATCTATAAATATGATAAAATAATAAATAAAAATCCACTGCTTTATAAATCTGTGAAAACCAAAGCTGACCACTAAAACATTTCAGAGCGCTTTAGTTTGAAGAGGTGTCTCAGGTGTTCAACAACGTCCTGAACAAGAAATGAAATGAGTATTATTATTATTTATAATTATATATATATTATATAATTATAAATAATAATAATACTGCTATATTTATATATAATTATAAATAATAATAACACTCATTTCATTTCTTGTTCAGGACGTTGTTGAACATATAAATAAATAAAATTACATTAGGAGTCCCAAGATGAGAATCTGGTAATTAATTTTCTATAAGCGTTTTACAACAAAACTTCCTCCTGAAGAAGAACTTCTGTGTGCTGCTCTTATCTATTCAGACCGAATTCTATATTTTTTTTAACTTTTAATACGTGGTCTCAGTGCCTGATGAAAACATCCCGATGGTCTGTTTAAATACGCTTGATGTATGATGTGTAATTTAATCATATATACTTTAAACTTCTCCAGTGTAACAGTATCTGTTTGCTTAAGGGGGTGTCTTAACTTGTGAACTGGTTAACCCCCCCCCCCAGCCAGCAGGTGTCTGTGTGGCGTGAATGGGACCTCTGTGCTCCACTGTCCCGGGAAATGAGCTGGAAAATGAGGGGCGGGGATCCACACCCCCTTTCCTCAAGACCCCTTTTGGGCTCGTCGCTGTTTGAATACAGCTGCGACGTATGAATTTAGCAGGGTCCTTAAACAGGCCGCCGATCTGTCACCCCGTCCCGCCCCACCGTCCCTCCGTCCCACCCCAGCCTGACCTCCGGAGACAAACTCACTCGGCCCCCTCATTCAAACTCAATCTGCTTTCAGCCCCTCAAAGCCGCTCCTTATAGCTCGGAGCCCCTTCGGAGCCCATATTCTCTCACTAACGCTTCAATCAACGGCGTGTTAGAGGATCAGGGTCCCTTCATGTCGTCCCCTCATGTCGTCCCTTCATGTCGTCCCCTTCATGTCGTCCCCCCCTGCTCCGTGTCTCAGGAGCTAAAAACCTAGAGTGGAAACTTCTGGTGTGTCGAGGCTGGAAGACGTCTTCGTCTTCCTCCTCTGCTCTCCAGCTGCAGTGAGAGCAGACATGGAAACGCCCGTCACAGTGATTACGTGCCGCTCAAGTCAACTAACTAGGATTCAATTAGTTAAATGTTCTATGAGTAAAATGTCAGATATAGTTTCTGTTATTGTCGAGTCCACAGACAGAACTTTACGTCTGCATCGGTGACATGTAACTATTCTCATAAGTACACAACTTTTATTATTTCCTGCCACTTCAGAGAGAAATACTGCGTGTTGTACTCCAATATAACATCTGGATACATTAACACTTGTTCTGAATCTGGATCTCTAATTAAATCAAAACGCTTGAGTAAATGAACCCAAAATGATAAATGTTGAATGTGTTTTTTTACATCTGACTCGCGGCGTATGAACCTGACTCCGCGGCTCCTCCGAGCGGGATGAATAATTGATGAAATTATGATTGGCTGAAAATCAAGTCGTCCATTTGAAGTCCCGTTGGACACTGAAGCCTGAAGCGTGTGAAGAGGAGCCACCTGTAAGGACTGTCACATGCAATCTGTGTTCTCCTCTGGTGAGTGTGACCCCATTGTGACCACGGGAGGGGTCCCAGGAGGGTGTGTGTGTGTGTGTGTGTGTGGAAAGTGTGTCTCTCTATACCCCATCGGGGGGGGGGGGGGGGGGGCAGCAGCAGGCAGAAGGCCTGGGGCCGTCGTCTGACACTGATTTGTAAAGGGAGACAATTCGGCTCATTGACCTGCACGGCTCCGCTGTCTGTTGCACATACCTCGCCCGGCCCCCCCACCGGCTTCAGACACCAGCAGCAGATTGTCGTGAGAGGGTGGGGGGGGGGCAGAGGGCCACAGGTTGCTTTGACAATGACTAAACCGCAGAGCCAAAACTTTGATGAACACATTCATTTATATTCTGAAGAAGAGTGTTACTCTCACAGCTTCGTGGCCAACGGGTCTTATTGGGTTTATTGGTTTATTTTCAGAATCCAGTTTACTGCTGAATATAGACACTTATACAATAGTGAGACGGAACAATTCAATGTTTAGAAAAATACTGTTTGAAATGAAGAAAAGTAAATGTAACTGTTCATCTCACATCATGTATTTGTGTTCCTTTTTATTTCTTAATCATTTTCAGTTGTTTTATCCTTGTTGATAAATGTGTAACTTTATTTTGAAAAGTGCTGCAAAGAATCTCTCATCTCTCCCTATATTGTGGTAATATAGGATAATACAAAGCATTAGAGGCCGGTAATAAATGACACTGGGGTTTCCAAACTTCTAATCGCTTCGGGCAAAACTGAATCAGTTTCCATCGGCTGGTAAATAAATAAAGTATTTATTGGCTCCTTCGTTTGTGGAGGTTCTGTGCTGCACTTTTCTTTCGGATGTCTGACGAGATGTCCCAGAGCTCAAGGGGACGTCTTTATGTCCCTTTTCTTTCTCCAGACCACACATGGACATTTCACTTTAAGAGATGCTGAAAAGAAATCTCATTTGATCAAATGGAACCAGCTGCTTTTGGGACATTTCTACTTTTTTTTTTTTAAGATTCATTATTAAAAACGAATGCAATTAATAGACGTTTCGTATTTATTTCCAGTCAACCTTTAAAACCTAAACATAAAAGAGACGACTTGAACGGGTGGAAGAATTCCCATTCCGAGGACAACAAGCGCTTCAAACGGGGGAGACGCGCCTCCGCGGGGGACGTGCACGCGCAGCCTCGCGGTAAACAAACCCCGTCCTCCTCCTCCTCCTTGTCCTCCATTCCCATTGTCACCGCGTGGATGTGACCTCTCTGTGCTTCTCTCTTTCACCGTCGGGGACAAGCTGTCGCTCCGTCCCCGCGGGCCTCTCCCTCACTTGTCCCCCCAGCTCCTCCCCCCTCCACCCTCTCCCATCCTTCTCCCTCTCCCCACCTGTTGAAGCATTTGTTGCGCGCACCATATTGTTGTCTTCTTATTATTTCACGTCCACGCCCCGCTCTCCCCTCCCTCTTCCACGCTCCTCTTCCTCCCCTCTCCCCCTCCCCCCCGCCGCTCCCTCCCTCGCCCTGCCGGGTATAAGAGCCAGAGCCCGGTGGTCGAGCGGGAACATCCGCCGGAGGGCCACGGGAACCAGCGCACGCCGCGACGGAGCGCGACGGAGAGGACGCCGCAGCTTTCCCCGCCTGGACGTACGCGACTTTGACTGCAGATGGACCGAGGCGTGTCTGTGTCGCTGTGGTGCGAGGAGGTGGAGGGGGACCAGAGTCGGGGCCCCTCGTCCCAGCTGAGGGCCCCCTGGGATCCCACCGTGTCGGGGCAACGCGTCATCCAGAGGCTGCTCCGCGTGGAGGAGCGCTACGCGCCCTCCGCGCTCTACGTCACCCTCATCCAGCGGGAGCCGGAGCGCAGGGAGGAGCTCGCCAAATGGGCCCTGGAGGTAGGGTGGTGCTGCTCTGGCTTCTCCTGGGGTGGGGGGGAGGTCATCCCTGCAGGTGGGACACTGACCCCTCCCCCTCTTCTCTCTCTCTCCAGGTGTGCTGTGAGTGCGGCTGTGACGAGGCCGTCTTCCCCCTCGCCGTCTCCCTGATGGACAGGTTCCTGTCCGCCTCGCTGTCCCTGCCCGTCTCGCCCTACTGCCTGGCGGCCGCCTGCGTCCTCATCGCCTCCAAGCTCACGGAGTGCGACAACGTCACCGCCGACACCCTGTGCGCCGCCGCCGAGTGCGGCTTCCCGGCCTCCACCCTGCGGGTGAGTCGGCCCGAGGAGCCGGCGGAGACGTGACTGCGCCGCAGCCTCGTTTCTTACAGATCAAACTGATCCCGGTGGAGTTATTTTCGGGGGGTGAAGCTCAAGGTTTCTCATATCGTCAACTGGATAGATTTCAAATGGTGCTGCTATTATTCCAGAGAGCCACCTTCACGTTTGTTGTTCTCCTCTTGTGTAATTGACAGCTCAATGATGATTGAATAATCTGCCGGATATTGTTTTTATTGTTTCCAAGGAGACGTCTTAGAATCTTTTGTTTTGTTGGGACAAAAATCCCAAAGATTTCCGTTTTTTCTGAGGAGAAGAAGCCATCTAGATGTAGAAAAAAACTTTATTCCGTTGTTAAATTCAAGATTCAAGATACATTTGGTTTAATGAGTAACTGACTGAACTGTAATACCAGAAGAAGATCATAACATTTATCACAGTATAACAAACCACAATGTCTGCATAACAATTACTACACAACCCTTTCTTCCCTCCGGTCTTCCCTCCATCAGGAGATGGAGCGCGTCATCCTCGCCACCCTCCGATGGGACACGGCTGCAGTGACTCCGCAGGACTTCCTCCCACATTTCCTCGCCTCCGTGGGCGAGAGAGGAAGAGATGGAGACGGCGGCGACTCGGAGGAGGCGCTGCTCTCCACCCTGCGGCGGCACAGCGACACGCTGGCCGCCATGTGCGCCTGCGACTCCCGCTTCCTGGGAGCTCCGCCGTCGCTTGTCGCCGCCGCGTCGCTGAACAGCGCCCTGCGGGGCCTGGGCAGCAAGGGCCCCGCTCAGCTGGCCGCCATCTGTGAGGCTCTGGCGGAGCTCTGCCAGGTCGACCTGGTGAGTGTGCGACACCTGCAAAACTCTGAGGCTCTCCTCTGATTCGGTCACATTCAGGGGTTGTTCCGGATTTCAGGAACGAAAGTTCCAAAGACCGACGCAGACTGATGTTTAACAGTCATTGCATTGATGACAAAATCACGTGTTTTCTCTTGTGTGGTGCATCCCAGGTGGTGCTGCAGTGCTACAGTGACATGATCGAATACGGCCTCCGGCAGCGGCTGAGGACGGGCCTGCAGCAGGGCCCCATGGAGAAGGGGGAAGAGGTGGAGACCGAAAGGCCCGGGACCCCTACAGACATGAGGGACATCGATTTTTAAGCACCGGCTCAACTAATGTTGCATTGAACACGTGAAAGTCAATCAGTCAAACTGATTTATATTGATCATGACCTCCAAATGCCTGGTTATATCTTGATATTTAAAAATTACTTAACTGAGTGACTGTTAATTTATTTTGTTTTTAAACTTTATTTATTTGTTTTACGGGAATCGTTTTTTATGTGCCATATTTTATTATCTATTTTTAGTAATTTTATTGAGTGCCTAGATGTTATTTTTGTTGAATATATTTATACCTTTAATTTATTATCACGTGCAATTGTTGTCTCTTTCTGTCTTAATTTATTTCAACTTGCCATTACTTTTTGTGTGTGTGTTTAATTAAATATACAACAGAGCTATTTTTCAAAGAAATTAAACGTTTAAAACGTTTGTAAATATTTTGTCTTGTTTCATGTTATTTACCGATGGTAAAATGGTGCCTTCACTTACTATTCAAAGGGTATTACTTCTGACTTATATTAATATTCATCAACTTTAGACGGGACATACATATCTCCGTAAAAGACAAATGTAAGACAACAAGCTGTTGGCAAATTTGATTTGTAAATCGAGGGACTCCGCCTTATTTTGGGCTGCAATATGAAAATAGAGAACGTGAATCTGTCGAAAAAAGAAAATAAACGGATTATTTCTGACAGTACGTGAAGGCAGCGCGTTGGACCGGTGCCGCATCCTCGTGACGTCATTTTTATCCGACGCCAAATCTAATCGTGTTTCCAGCGTCGGATCAGATATTTCTGTCATACGTGCGGTAAGAATGGAGCTATTCGAGATATTTCACTGTCGCCACTCATTGTAATTGTATATTTTAATATCGGATGGTTTAAAGGAAGAATTCGCAGAAAATCATGACGCAGGACGTAACGTTAGAAGACGTTTTAGCTCACTGCTAACTATCACGGAAATGGATATCAACAACCCTTTATAACGACATCTGAATGACCGCACAATGTCCTAAATGTTGTAGAAACAAATCACAAATTTCCTCGTGCCATAATTGTATTTTCATTGAACGTTATAGAGATAACAGACCTCTTGCTTAGCCGAACCCTCCATTTTTAAGCTAACGTTAGTAAACTTTGCCGAGCTTACTCCAATAAACGACCTCCTTTTAATACTAATGTCCTTAACATTAAAGTAAACAAATCAAAGCTTGTATATAATGAAACCCTGTTTTTTATTGTTAAGTAACACGGCGAATGTTTCACACTAAATGTGTGCTGTTAATGTTTGCATGAAAAAGATGCTATGTTGGTCAAAATTGATCGTCATTCCAAACTCCATTACTGAAATGTGATATTCTGATTCATCTCATCGACGGAGACACACGCGTCGAAAGAAAACGGAACATTGGAATTCTTACAACTCGCTTAAGTCTCCCGGTTATTTCGGCAAACGATGTTTACACCAGATACCCACCAACTGCACGAAAACACGTGACGTTGCATTTAAAGAACGATCCAATGTGTCTGCGCCTTTAAATGAGTCGGACCCTCGTCACGTGGAGACGTTGTTGTTGTCCTCGTCCACTTGACGACTGAACATATCAACGATGACATAATGAGTTAAAAGTGCTGCACTGTTCTAGATTGCAATACAGAAACATGATCAAAAGCAGAATTAGAAACAAATGTCTTTTGCTTTTTTAAGTTTTCTTGGGAATTTATTTACTCCTGGAATATTCATAATGTAGTGCTATTCAAGATTTTATTGAAATAAAAGGTTTTCAATTCAAGGTAAAATTGAAAACAGATGACCTTGGCGTTCATGAAACATCAATGATTATTTTGGCCTCTGCTTCTCCTTTCCGGCATTGAATTATGATTACGGTGTTGTCACACGCGTTGTTTATTTTGAAGGAGGATGAACCTCCAACCGGGCTGGCTGCTGCTTCTCTTCGTCTGTGCCGGGGTCCGGTTGGTGCCGGTCGATCGCAATGCGGCGAACCAGGAAGCCAAAGCGGAAGTCCCAGAGGAGAACGGGGTAATGCTCTCGGAAGTCTCATCCGTGTACTTTTTTATGTTTGCGATTCGGCGTGTTGTGATCAACTCTCCCTCCACCACACAACCCCGCAGGACACCGGCCTGTACTACGACCGGTACCTCAGAGAGGTGATCGAGGTGTTGGAGACGGACCCTCACTTCAGAGAGAAACTGCAAACGGCCAACAGCGAAGACATCAAGGTCAGAGTCCGTCTCCTTTCAGCTTACATCGTTGTCAAAAGTAGTTCTCAATAATAAGTTAAAATATATTTGGTAAAAAATTGTCATGGAAGTATAAAAATAGGTCAAAACGTATTTCGAAAATACGGATGACATGTCATGTCGAAAAAATATATATTATCGGAAAAAAGTATTAAAATATTCGGTCGACATACCTTATGTCTAAAAATATGTTATGTCTAAAACTTCATGGACAAAAAATTCGAAATGTTAGGTCGAAAAATGTTTTGAAAAAAAATTCACAATATATTAAATAAAAAAATGTCATTTAAAGAATTTGGTCAGTGTTTTGAAAACAAAATAAAAATAGACTTAAAAAGTGTCATGAAAAAAGTATAGAAGAAGAAAAATATGTTTTTTAAAGATTAATTATATATATATATATGTATATATTTAAAATATCGTGTAAAAAGTATATCTAGTCAAAAAATGTTGTCATGGAAAAACGTTAAAGAATACTATGTCCAAAAATGTTTGTAAAAAAAAAAAAAAAAAAAAAAAAGTCAATTCATGTTGAAAAATGTCATAAAAGAAAGTCAAAATATATTATGTTGAAAAATGACACGGAAAAAAAGTAAAAAAATATTAGGTTCAATGTGGAGGGGAAGAAAGTTAAAATATATTTAGTTAAAAAAAAGTCCAAAAGAAATATTCGGTCAAAAGTGTTTTGTAAAAAATGTCCATTACATTAGGGCTTTGTTCTTCTTTTGTTTTGAATCCCTCTGGTTTAATGTGTGGATGTCTGGCGTACTCAGAACGGGCGTCTCAGTAAAGAGCTGGACCTGGTCGGTCACCACGTGAGGACCCGCCTGGATGAGCTGAAGCGTCAGGAGGTTTCCCGCCTCAGGATGCTGCTCAAGGCCAAACTGGACAGCACCAACACGCAGAGTGAGCCCACGTATTTTCGCCTCTGCACAGAGTGAATGCATTCATATTTATGTGTTCAGATAATTGGTGTTAAGTTGAGATTATTTTAGTTGAGAGATCTTCAGGGGGAAATGACCAAAGGGAAATGTTTGTCAGCACTTTAAAAGGATAAAAAAAACTTCATGATTAAAAATGAGCGACGTTAGTGTTGGGAGGGGAGGCTGAGGGATGTGTTCAGTGGACGTCGGACGTTATGCAATTTGTGTGTGTCCGCCATGTGCTTGTTGTCTTATGTGTGTGTGTGTGTGCTTGTGGAGGCCTGCAGATGGACCACGCCTCCCTGCTGAAGCAGTTTGAACATCTGGATCCCCACAATCAAAACACGTTTGAGGCCAAAGACCTGGAGCTGCTGATCACCACGGTAACATCCTCCAGAGAGAAGTTGATGGGTTCATGTGTTCTCACTAGATTCAAATGCAACGCAGAACCCTCGGAACCCTTCAGGGTTAAAGGGGGGTGGATGAGGGGGAGGCAGTTACGGGTCAAAACAAAGATGGCGGGGTCCGTATGTGACGAGGGCATCTCTCCGTGGCAGGCCACCAAGGACCTGGAGAACTACGACGCCGAGCGGCACGAGGAGTTCAAGCGCTACGAGATGCTGAAGGAGCACGAGAGGCGGGAGTACCTGAAGGGCCTGGACCAGGAGAAGAGGGAGCGGGAGGAGAAGAGACTGCAGGAGCTCAAGGACAGGCACCGGCAGCACCCCAAAGTCAACGCTCCGGTATGAACAAACGCACCTCTTTCGGTAGGGCGAAAGGAGCGCTCCTAATTCCCGCCTTTGTCTCCGCGCAGGGGAGCGTGGCTCAGCTCCGCGAGGTTTGGGAGGAGACGGACGGACTGGATCCGCAGGAGTTCAACCCCAAAACCTTTTTCAAACTGCACGGTGAGGCACGGCCTCCCTTCTGAACCCCCGTTGTTGTGTTTATGGGTAAATGTGAACCGTGTGCCCCTCTGCCCCGGTTAGATACGAATGAAGACGGAGTCTTAGATGAGCAGGAGCTGGAGGCTCTTTTCACCAAAGAGGTGAGGAACCGCTCGGCTTCGAGCTCAAAGAAGAAACTCCTTAAGACGACGCGACAAAACGTGAAGTGACAGATGATCATCTATTTGAAAAATACAGCTGTTCCCTGTGTGTTGAAGCAAACCTTTTTTTTTAAATGAAAAGCGTTGAAGCTGACAGCAGTGACGTGCACGTCTGTCCCGTAACATCTGTTCCCCCCCACCCCCCAGCTGGAGAAAGTCTACGATGCAAAGAACGAGGAGGACGACATGATGGAGATGGAGGAGGAGAGGCTGAGGATGAGGGAGCATGTGATGAAGAATGTGAGTCTCTCGTTTAGCTATTTATCCCGCTGCTCTTTTATTTATTTGTTTTTTCATCTGTCTTTCTCCACTTTTTTTTGAAAAAGGTGGACGCCAACAAAGATCGCCTCGTCACCCTGGAAGAGTTCCTCAAGTCCACGGAGAAGAAGGAGTTCAGCAACCCCAAAGAGTGGGAGGTAAGGGCCCGACGGCGCGGAGACGAGGAGCTGCGTGCTGCAGCGGAGGAGGTCCCGTGAGTCCCACGTGACATAAAGCTCACCTGTAGAATACGGGCGCTGTGTGTCTGCAGACGCTGGAAACCCGCCCCGTGTACACGGAGGAGGAGCTGCAGCGCTTCGAGGTGGAACTCCTCGACCGAGAGGAGGAGCTGAAGAGGAAGGCGGAGAATCTGCGGCAGCAGCAGGAGCTGCTGAAGGAGCGCGGCAAAGCCCTGGAGGCCCAGAGGAAGGAGTACCAGCAGGTTGATGCGATCCCGCCGAGGCCACGCCCCCTTATCAGAGCACAAAGGCGATAAATCCATCGTTTTATTTCTTCTTTTTTTTTTTACTTGTGTCTCAGGCGGTGTTGGAAATGTCCCACAGGCAGAAGGAGCAGCAGGCAGCCGACGGGCAGCCTCCCGCGGGTCCTAACGGGGAACTGCAGTTCCAACCAGAGGCACAAAAAGTGGAAGACGAAGGTAGAAGATCTGAGTGAGCGCGAGTGTTGTTTGTAACGGGACCTCTTCCTCTCTCACATCCTCCTCCTCTTCCCTCACAGCTGAGCGGCCGGCCGAGGGCCAGAACATTCTGCCTGCAGAGCCGCCACAGAACCTGCCTTCACACACTTAGTGCAGCACGCACACACACACACACACACAATCTGCACTGACACAGATATCCAGATGCGTCCAACAACCAGAATAACATGAAATGTTTGAATAAATTCAGACAGATTTGGCCTGTGAATCATGAAATATTTTACTGTGTTCATCTCTGTGGTCTCCTTCAGAGAGATATAGATATATATATATATATATATACATATATATATGTGTGTGTTTACAGAAATCTTCAGTTTCATTGAAGTTTTCATTATTGACGGGTCTTTGGTGTAAAATCCTAAACATCTATGAATAAAGTGATAATTTAAAACCTCTGAACCAAACTTGTTGAAACATTATTTATTTAATTTAACCCATATTTATCCAGGATAATCCCTGTGATATACAGATATTAACTAAACATGTAACTTACTGGATTTTATTATCATCTATTTAACCGTATATTTGTGATATTGTATTTAGTTGTAAAAATGAATTGATACATAAACAGATGTGTATAGATTGTAATAATACAACGTGGGGGAGAGTTTATGTGTTCTCCACATGTATGAGCCTCCTCCTCTTCCTCCTCATCCTCTTCCTTCTCCTCCTCCTCCTCGTCCTCCTTCCTGGGCCTGTTGTCCACTGCCGTGTCTCCCTGGAGACCAGCCGATGCTTGTTGTCTAGCTGACGAGCTGCTGAGCGCATTCCTATCAGCATTCCTCCGACCTGCTGACCCTCCGCGAGTCCCCCCCGGGGAGTTTTGGAGGGGTGGGTCTTTTTTGGTGTCCACACAGCTGTCGGCTGTCCATCACCGCTGTCATCTGTGCAGGAAGCTGCCTGGGTTTGATACGACTCAATCCACCAAGTTTAAACCTTTTTTTAAATGCTCAGTCAAAGAAAAATGAAATAATTTGCATATTTACCTGCCGACATCAGCTAAAAACACTTTTTTAGCACAAATTCAGATGCAAAAAAAGGGCAAATCATTCAAGAGGCAAGTGTGGATAAAAGGTGCAGAATCTCCATCAGTCCAAGTAGACTAGCGCTGGTAGACGCCACAGCTCTAAAGTTCACGTAGAGTGCAGAGATACATTATAGATGTGTCTGTAGTGAAAAGGTCAACGAGGCTGCGACAGCAGACGCGTTTGGATGCTTTGACGTCTTCAATTTAAACATTTAACGAAGGAATAATAAATTCCTGCCTGTTAGAAGTGGAACAAAGTACGAGAGCACTGGTTTTATTATTCACGTGAGAGGACGGCGTCGTCATGACGACGCATAGGGGTTTTCCCCAGGAGACAATAAACAGGAACGGATCCTGTGTAATGTTTACAGTGTTCATATTTTTATGTTGCTTTACTGCAAAAAAAATCATTTGAAACAAAAATGATCAATGAAAGAAAATGTTTTTGTTCTTTCTCTTCTTTTCGCTCTGAAATATTGTTGCAAATTAAACGTGGAATCTGTTTTAATCTCACTGTTCCGAAGAGGACATTACGTCATCCCCCTCCCTGCTCACAGTGGCTTAAGTCCCGCCTCCCCTCCCTGCGTTTTGATTGGCCGACCAGTCTTTTAAAGTTTACTGACATGATTAGAGGAATAAGAAAAAAAACAGGCATCGTTTGGATTTATTTATTTTAGTAATACAACTCAGTAGTTGAAGCTCTGGTCATTTTCAAGTTGTTATTCCTCATCATTTTTTAAAGTTCCTCATACTTGAATCCATGATGTTTAATTGAAATGTGATAACCTCGTGCAGGCAGTGGTTTGCGTCCTCGTTGAGCCCCCGGAGGAAGCAGTGGTTTAATTCTCTGACTGCTCACGTCCGTTTGCTTTGTGCCTAAAGAGAAAGAAAAAAGTCAAAGTGAAGCAAAGCGAAGTCTTTTTTTCATCCGCTGTGAGCTTGTTTCTTTAAGACTCAGCATCTTCACCGAGGAGGAGACATGAGGAAGAGAAGCTGGTCAAGTTACACAAAAGCACCAGGAGAAAGACCGGAAGCTACATTATCTTTCTTCAGAGTAAAGTTTGTATTGATTCATGTCTTTACTTTCTTTACAGTCAGAACACAGAGCAAATATCCATCAAAGATATGTGATGATTTTAACGGGATTCAGGGCTTCTATTTGCCACCTCGTAGAACATCTGCCTTCAAATGCAGAGAATAATAATGAGTGTTTTGTTTTACTTTTGCCTCACCAATAATCTTGTATTGTCTTACTGAGTGTGTGTAACATATTTATTAATATCAATGATGCACTTGTATGGGTATTAACGCTCTAGTAATTTATAAACAGAACAAAAAGAAAGAACATTGCATATAAACATTGCAATTGTGGAATATCTGTTTTTTTATGTTCTATGTTCGTTTGCACGTTTTATCCTGAAGGTGCTCACCGGATGTTGCCCGTGTCTCCTGCACGCGTCTTTACGCACGGACGCCGGAGCCGAAGCATCGCGCCCAGCAGAGAGAGAGAGAGAGAGAGGGAGGGAGGGGAGGGGGAGGGCTGGCAACCGGGCTGTAACGGGGGGGATAAGCTGCAGCCTCCGTCTCTCAGGTGCTCCGATGGAGTGAAGCGGCCGCCGAGGCGCCTTGACTTCCTGTCCCGGTCGATGATGGAGAGGGTAAGACGCGAGAGGCTGAAATCCGCCGTCATGTTCTGGTGCACGCGCGGATCTAGCAGTGCGTTGGACCGTCCAGCTGTTTTTATGGGTGGGGGGGGGGCGGTGGAGGAGGGAGGAAGGGAGGAAGGGGAGTTGGGTGTTGATAGGAAATAGGCGCCTTGCAGTCGGAATAAAAGAGGCGCGCCGTTTTCCGACAGTCGGGTCATTCGTGTCACTAAAAATAACCCACTTGCGTGATGTGCATCTCCCGGTTGGACGTGTTAATTAGGCCTCCATCATTTACAGCACGAGTGGCACCTCCTCCCGTGTGAGGCTCTCCTGCACAGCCCTACATGCTCCTTTATTTATTTATTTATTTATTATCATTTTGAGCCATTTATTTAGTGAAGACAACCCGTTATTTCCATTCCAAACACCACAAGAAATCTCATTATTCACACACACAATCCATGTATCCATATATATCCATATATATCCATATATATATATATATATAACAGATGGCTTCCGGAGCCGTAGAATCTCCTCCTGGATACAGCGCGTAATTACAATTCATGATGACCCCCCCCCCACCATGAAATGTATGAAACAGCCCCGCGTCTCCCTGCCGGATACAGGCCTGCTGATTGTTCCGTGTTTGTGTGTCCGAACACGACCCGTTTCCGTGCATCATGCGCCATTCACGTGCGCCGGTTCCGACTGCGAGGACGCGGACACGCGCACTGATGGAACGATGGATCGCGAGTATCGCGATGCCAGTCAGCGGGCCCAGATAGCGGGTGGGGGCGGGGACGGTTGTGTCTTTTGAGGGTTCGGAGAAAGGTGTGTGCGTGTGTGTGCGTGTGTGTGCGTGTGTGTGTGTGTGTGTGTGTGTGCGAGAGAGAAATACACGTTTCTGTAAAAGCTCTTGTATGTTCCTCCATCATCTCATCTTCTTCTTTCTTCTCTCTTCAGGTGAGTGTCTCATCTCAGTGAAGCCCGGGCCGGGGGTCAGAGGTCATTGATTAAAACCTGCACCTCTCCCTCTTACCCCCTGAAACCCCTGTCCCCCCTTCCCACGGCCCTTTGGTCACCCACCCTTAAAGAATCAGTGGGCCGTCTGATCGTCAGTGGACCACCAGTGGAGGCGGCGCCGAGCGTCCCGCACCGCCTCTCAGACCCCTCCCCCCCCCCGCCTCTAGCTCCCCGGCCTCAAGATGATGTGCGAGGTGATGCCCACCATCTCGGAGGACGGGCGCGGAGGCGGCGGCTCGTCTCCCCCGCCGGGGGGCGGGGCAGGAGGAGGGATGGGAGGCATCGGGGGCTACGGCGGCAGGGATGCCCGCGGCGGCGGCAGCGCGGGCGGCGGCGGCGGCAGCAGCGACGAGGGGGGCAGCACGGGCAACCTGGAGTCGCTGATGGTGAACATGCTGACGGAGAGGGAGCGGCTGCTGGAGAGCCTGAGGGAGACGCAGGACTGCCTGGGGACGGCGCACCTGCGCCTCAGGGACCTCGGCCACGAGAAGGAGTCGCTGCAGAGGCAGCTGTCCATCGCCCTGCCGCAGGTACCGCCCACCCGCTCCGTCGCTGGGAGGCTTTCATTATGCTCATTACACGCAGGTCGTAGTACTTCATTGATGAAGGAAAAGTTTAATCTGTCATATCACCTCATCTAAGTGTGTGTGTGTGTCTGGAGAGCCGTGGAGGTGATCTTCTCCTTTAGGTGCACCACCTGGTTTAGGCCGGTTTGATAAAAAAGTCCCATTTCAGCAATTTTTAGCGCTTATGTGAAACGTCAAATCTCCAATGTTATTTAAAGAGAAGATCGTCGACCTGAAGAATCTCCAAATCTGACCTCAGTAATGCTGCTGATGTGCATCACATCACAGCGCTGAATTATTCACGCGTTCACCTGTCAGCGAGGTTTAATGCTGCAGCCGTCGTCCAGGCGAGCTGGGTCCGACTTCTTTCTTCTTCTGCGGTTTTAAACCAACGCGGCCGCTTCCACGGAGCACCAACAGTAAAGTTTATAACTCCTCATGGAAATATCTAAATGTGCTTGTGTGATATTCAACTTTTAACTTGCGTTGGACAAAGAATTTGTGGTATGTGTTTTCTACCTTGAGAAGGACTCTCATGTTCTCTCACCTGAAACCATCACAGCAGTGAAAGAGAAGACAACAATAAGAGAATCATTTGTTCCTAAATATCCGTACCTCCTAAAACGGAAATCCTCATGTACCAACGCATCAAAATGGTACTTTGCTGTCTTAGAATCGGTTTACTTAATGAGGCTGGCTGGTGAGCCGGTATCCATGGCGACCAACTTTAGTCGTTGGTACCTTTTTTCTCTTTTTAAAGCTGCTTTAAACCCTGTTTTGTCCGGTTTGGGACTCTTTTGGATCCACAGCTCATCAGACTTTTCTAAGTAGGTTCTGTGTGTTGGAAGAACAGATCTGTCAGTAAGTTACCTGACAGTAAGGATCTGCATATCGTCCTTGTGGCAGCCGGCCTCCCTTCCCGTAAGGATTGCAAAGAGAGTCTTTGAGGATTGTGGGGAGACGTTCGGAGCAGTCGTGCTTTTCTTTGCGCTCATCTTCTTTTTCCAAAGACGGACGGTGATGTTTTTGCTTCTGGTGAACCGGAAACCGAGAGCCGCGAGTCAGCGTGTGACAAGAAAACAACCCAAAGGAAACACCGGACTCAGCCGACATTAAAGAGCTGCGTTACCTCAGCGATGGGGAGATCGATATGGTCATCATCTGCAGAAACACACACACACACACACACACACACACACACACACACACACACACACTCACACAGGCAGGAGGCAACGAGCTGCACACACAGCAGCTACGTTCTACTGTAGATGAGTTCAGCCAGTTCGTCTCTGTGTGTTCAACGTTGCCAAGAGAGAAAAATCAGGAGAGGGATGGAAGCAGTTACAGCATGGCGCACACACACGCACACACACACACACACACACACACACACACACATGCACACACACACATGCACACAAAGAGAGAAAAACCTGGTGAAATGAGACTAAGAAGATTATTTTTATTGTATAAAGACGACTTAATGGAAGGGCTTAAGGGGGTTTTTTTAAAAAGAAAAGAAGAGAGGCCCCGCGCCCTTATAGTGGGGGGGGGACAAATTTTTTTGGGGGGGGGGGGGGGGGGGGGGTTGCAATGAACGAAAAATGACGGTGCCATACGGTGAGAAAGATAGAAGCAGTGCGGTGCCGGTGGAGCAGCTCGCTCCGTCTTCTACTTGAATTAATCCCAGAATTAAGAAATCCTGCAGGCACCAGAAGGAGCCATCTGCACGCGGCAAGTCGTTCCTCCTCACTTCCCTCTCCTCAAACCGGGCTTCCTCCTTTCGCCTCCCCCCCCCCGGCGTCGAGGGGTACCAACGCTCTGCACATGCTGCACTTCAATGCGTGTGAGAGGAGGCGCTAATGTGGGTAAACTGATCACCGATCCACACTTGGCACTGGAGGTCCTGGTCTCCGGACCTGCCACTGGAGGTCCTGGTCTCCGGACCTGCCACTGGAGGTCCTGGTCTCCGAACCTGCCACTGGAGGTCCTGGTCTCCGGACCTGCCACTGGAGGTCCTGGTAGTTCTCTAATCTGGTTCTCATGTCCATCTGTGCCACGCATTGTGGGACTGGTCCCAGTCTTGGATCTGGTTTGTGTCGTGTTGATTACCACACTGCCGTGCTTGCATCACTGCGTGTATGTGTGACATGTGTGTGTGTCCCGGGGGGAATGTGTGTGTGTCCTGGTTGTCATGTGTGTCATGTGTGCGTCACGGCGCCATCGCACGCGAGCAGAGAGGACAATCAGCGCGCGGTCGAGCACTCGCTGCACACGGCGGCGTGTGTCTGCTCTGATGTGTTGCCATGGATACCACTTAGTCTGACCAAAGTATTTGTCAGCGTAACTATCACGTAGCTTCCCCATCGATTCTACGCGATTGCGTTCAATCGCGGAGAATCGTAACAGTTCCACCCGGGCCGCTGTCTTCTGGAGGTCCCAGACGTCCCAGAGCCGCAGCTCCTCTCGTGCTTCTTTAAACTGCGGGCGGTTTGTTTTAATGGCGAGCAAAGCGCACAGCCAGTCAAGGTTATTGAGCAATTAATCCCATTTCAGGTGCAACACGTGCAATAAAGCTGGTTGTTAGATTTTATACGGAGGCCTGGTCCAGGAGTCCCGCTGGCTGCTGTTTTGTGGTTTATTCCTGTTGGAGAAGTTCCATACACGTTGGTTGAAGCGCGTCGAAAGTCTCTGATTCTGTGGTTAATTGCGCTGTGTGGGATGACGGAAAACACCGGCAGTAAACGTTACAGTCTGCGGTCGCTCTGCTCTTCTGTTTGGAGGCGTGTGTTTATTATTATTTTTTTCTGGATTACCGGCCAAGTGAGAAGAGGAGACCTCCTGCTGAGATATTTTTATTTTTTGTTTTCAAACCTTCTTCTGTTCTGACTCAGCATTTATCAATCAGACAGGGGAGGAATCCATTAAGGAAGGCCTGTTTTAGGCAAAGTGTGAATATGCAGCACTTCTTAACGGACGCGTGTGTGTGTGAGTCGATAACGGCTTCCTCTTGTGACCCGGCAGGAGTTCGCAGTGCTGACCAAAGAGCTGAACCTCTGCCGGGAACAGCTGCTGGAGAGGGAGGAGGAGATAGCCGAGCTGAAGGCGGGAGAGGAACAACACACGGGTCAGCATCACACACACTCAAGTTCTGCTCCGATTCCCCTCGCCGCTTGTCCATTTGTTTTCCCCCTGAACGAACCCCCGAACCGCTCGTGTCTCCAGCTGCTGCTGGAGCATCTGGAGTGCCTGGTGTCCCGCCACGAGCGCAGCCTGAGGATGACCGTGGTGAAGAGGCAGACCCAGTCCCCGGCTGGGGTCTCCAGCGAGGTGGAGGTCCTGAAAGCCCTCAAGTCGCTGTTCGAGCACCACAAAGCTCTGGACGAGAAGGTGAGGGAGCGGCTACGGGTGGCGCTGCAGCGGGTGGCGTCCCTGGAGGAAGAGCTGCAGTCCTCTTCCCAGGAGGTGAGTCCACGTTCCTTCTAGCTTTTTCTGTGCCTCTCTCTGTCAGGGACGCGTCGTGGGAAGGCAGGACTCAAATGCAGACGTCGAAACGCAAAAATACTTTAATAGTCATAAACTCCAACACAAAATGGCCAAGGGGCAAAAACGCATACAAGTACCAGGGGGACAAAAGGCAGGCAGGAACTAGAGGCATCCAGGACGATGGACAACGACAAGTGACAAGAGACACACACGGCTTAAATACACTAGGAAGGTGCAGGTGATTGGACACAGGTGGAAACAATCAGACAATCACAAGGGACGACAGGACCAGGCAGGAAGTGAAGTCCCCCGGGGAGACAAGAAGCAGAAGCTACAAAATAAGACAGGAAATAAAACCACACCGTGACACTCTGTCTGGGGTGTGAGTTTCTCCTGATCGGCTCCCCTCCCTGTGGTTCCAGGTCGTGTCCCTAAGGGAGCAGATCAAGCGGCGGCAGCAAGGACTGGACGGCGGCAAAGAGGTACCGGGATGCTTGTCTTAAAGGTGTTAGTCAGTGTTAGTGGACCTGCATGATGCATCGGCGCGAGAAATCTATTTCTGCTTCGACGGCCTGTGAGGCCGCGCCGAGATCGCCATCCTCAGCGGCAGCATGTTAGCAGGCCAACCGTACACCCCAATCGGCGTTCTCATCAATTGAAGCGAAAATCTTTTGTCCCTCCGTGCAGCGGCTTCCCAACGGGCCGTCGTCCATCCTGGACGACGGCGACGTGGACCGTCAGCGCGAGGGCGAGATAGAGCGACAGAGGTCGGAGCTGGGTCAGCTCAAAGAGAGACTGGCCCTCATGTGCAGACAGGTAGGCCGACGCGCCGCGCTATTCGCCGAGACGGCAGACGGAGGCGCCTCACGTCTCGCCGCCTCCCCTTCCAGGTCGGGGAGATCGAGGAGCAGCTGACGTCCGCCCGCCGGGAGCTGGCCCGATCGGAGGAGGCCAACCAGAAACTGCAGAGGGACGTGAAGGAGGTGAGATACTCTTTTTGATTCGCTCAAATACGTCCCGGTTTGCTATGGCAACAAAAGGCCAGTTACTCCGCGCGCCAGAGCCCCCGTATCCACGGCAACGCGGCCTTCCCGATCAGACAGATTGAAAAGGTGTGAGGGCGTTCTTTTTTCCAACGAGAGGAGGTTGAGTCGACTTTGACGAAATCTGTTTCTCTGAGTCGTACTGCTGCCCCCCTCCTCGTCGCCCCCCCCCCCATCTCTCTTTAACCTTTTGCAACGGCATCTAAAAGCTGTCAACAACAACAACAACAACTACTAACCGCTCATTATCATTCTTCTGCTAATAGCTGCTCCCTTTGATCAACGCCTGTAAACCTCTCTGACTATCTGCTCTCGGTTGCTTTCTAAATGTGCGCATGCTTTGCGGCCTTCAACCCCCCCCCCCCCCAGGCTCTCTGTCAGAGGGAAGACATGGAGGAGAGAATCACCACGTTGGAGCGCAGGTTTGTGTTTCCCCTCCGCGAACTCTTCCTTGCCTCCTTGCAAAGGAAAAAGCGCTGCGGGCGCCTCACCCACCGCTCCGTCTTGTCGGCCGCCCCGTGTTTTTCCGCTCTGCAGGTACCTGAGTGCCCAGAGGGAGGCGACGTCTCTCCACGACACCAAAGACAAGCTGGAGAACGAGCTGGCCAGCAAAGACTCGCTCTACAGACAGGTGTGGGGGGGGGGGGGTCTTCTCTTTTCTTGCCCTCCGCAAAAAACCTGGCGACCCGAGTTTCACCTCCGCTCCCGTCTCTCCTGCTGCCCCCCTCCTCCTGCAGGGCGAGGAGAAGAACCGGCAGCTCCAGGAGCGCCTGGATGACGCCAAGCAGAAGCTGCAGCAGACTCTGCAGAGGGCCGAGACGCTGCCGGAGATCGAGGCGCAGCTCGCCCAGAGAGTGGCAGCCCTCAACAAGGTGTGTGTGTGTGTGTGTGTGTGTGTGTGTGTGTGTGCAAACAATCGACCAGCTGTACACAATCAGATGAAAACAGTGCAATCTTCACCTGACAGCAGCCCGTGTGCACACGTGTGTATAAACGCGCGTGTGATCGTGCATAGCCGAAGCGGAACATATCAAACGACGGGTGAACAGCAAACATTTGCATGTAATCCGCTCAGCTATTTGCTCCTCGCTGCGCCTCGACACGCCAGGAACCGCACGCCGCCTCGGATCTCGTTTGATTTGCTCGTGTGTTAAATCTCAAGCATTCCTGCGACTACAATGCTCCCTCGTGCCAAAAAATCTCCCCCCCGGTAGCCGAACCTGTCAAATAGTCTACACTTACTAGTGGCGTGTCGGGGCAGGAGCCCCGTGAGAAGAGCCAGAGTCTCCCGCCACGCTTAGATGTGTACAGGCATGTAGCCGATTGGTCGACCCGGTCAACAAGCCGTTTCCTTTTGTGTTCATTTGTACTGCGCTCCCCCCCCACCTCCTCCATCCCCCCACGATCACTCAGGCGGAGGAGCGACATGGTAACTTTGAGGAGCGACTGCGACAGATGGAGGCGCAACTGGAGGAGAAGAACCAGGAGCTGCAGAGGGTGAGTCACTCTCTTTTCTCTCCCTCTGGTTTCATCCCTCCCCCTCCTTCGTGCCGTTGCCCCTTTTGTCAGCCTCCACAAAGGCGCGCTAATTTTCTAAACCCTGCATTTGGTCGTTTCCATTCAGATACAAATCTTTGTGCGTCGCCCTCAGTCGAGCAGAATGCTTGTTACTGTAACGCCCACCTTCGTTTCTTTCTTGTCATTCGCTCTCACCCGTCTCTCAACCCTTCCGCGCCCATCACCTCAGGCGAGGCAGCGGGAGAGGATGAACGACGAACACAACAAGCGCCTCTCCGACACGGTGGACAAGCTGCTGTCTGAGTCCAACGAGAGGCTGCAGCTGCACCTGAAGGAGAGGATGGCGGCCCTGGAGGAGAAGGTGGGAGCAGGCGTCTCGTCAAACCGCCATCGGTCTCAGTCCCCCAAATGCTAGACCCTACACATGTGTCCCTCGTGTACCCAAACTCACCCGTACAAATACCCTGAGATTGGTGTAGAATGCTGTACTTAAACGTACAGAACAAACACATGAAGACCAGCTTCACCGTGATAAAGCGTCTGCTTCTTCCTGCAGAATGCGCTGTCGGAGGAACTGTCCAACATGAAGAAACTCCAGGACGATCTGTTGGCGAACAAGGTCCCTCCGAGTCAAACCTCTTGCAGACATGCAGCCTTTTTCCTTTCCCCTTTTTCTCTAACCTCCCCCTTCCCCCCCACTCCAGGACCAGCTGATCGCAGAGCTGGAGCGCCTTCAGCTGGAGTTGGATCAGCTGAGAGCGAGGCCCGGTGGCTCTTATTCCAGGTTAGTCAGCATTTCCCGATCGCACGCATCCGTTGACTCGGTGCCCAAACACACAAACACGATCCAATTAGCACTTTGCTCATCTGCAAGTCCCGACACCTACGGCCCGTTGGTGCGGGTACGCTGCACCTTTACTCCACATACAAGTCTATACGTACCCTTTTATCCGGGAGGCCCCTTGTTTTTGTTTAGCCGGCTCCGTTGTGTTTTTTTCCCGTGTTGCACCGCCTCTCCATCGCCGTCTCACCTCGCACCGTGTTTCTTGCCTCTCCAGTCGCTCTCTGCCGGGGAGCGCTCTGGAGCTGAGGTATTCCCACGGGAATGGCTCGCTACCGACCGGCTCGACCACTCACCTGGACACCTTCGGTAACGCGTCCGCCGGGGGCGTGGTCAGGCGGAGTCACCGGGCCCGTTGGAGCTCGGCCAGAGAGGACTCCACCAAGGTGAGACACCGCTGTAACGTGACTACGAGCCCAAGCGGAGGCCGATTGAATCATCATCATCTACTTTATACCTCTTGGAAGCATCGGCTGCTTTTCGATTAAACAAACACTGGTTGAATATGGAAGAATATCTAATACTTTAATATCAGGAAGTGGAAAAATACGTGTCCCCTTTGGATTGTGAAGTCCCAGTTTTGTTGTTTGTCTGACTTAAAATCCTTTCATCCCGATCTTCTCTGACAAAAATACCAAAAATGAAACAAAACATAACGTGACATTTTGTCTCTTTCGTGGAAGAACCACAGTACTACTCTCTGTGTGCAGTACCCGGACTGGGAGAGCGGGGCCCTGCTGGGGACCGGGTTCGACCCGGGCCTGGACGTGGGCGGCTCCGACGACGATGACGACGGCGACCCTCGGTTCGGCTCCGAGCTGCTCTCCCCCAGCGGGCAGACGGACGTGCAGACCCTGGCCATCATGCTGCAGGAACAGCTGGAGGCCATCAACAAGGAGATCAAGTGAGCAGCTCGTTTAGGTCGCACCGGCTAGCTGTTTCCCTCCGTTTCCAGTCTTTACGCTAAGCTAAGCTAACTGGCTTGTTTTTTTTTTCTCCCCTTCCTCTTTCAAACGCAGACTCATCCAGGAGGAGAAGGAGAACACGGAGCTGCGGGCCGAGGAGATCGAGAGCCGGGTCAGCGTGGCTCTGGACCCTCCGTCCTCCCTGGGGAGGGACAGCACGGGACGGGGCTTCATCCCCTCGTCCATCACGTCCTCCACCCTGGCCTCCCCCTCCCCCCCCAGCTCCGGACACTCCACCCCTCGCCTGTCTCACTCCCCGGCCCGCGAGACGGATAGACAGGTACCACCTCCTCCTCCCTCCTACTCTCCCTCCCCACCAAACGTCTCCTCCAGACAGCGAGTAAATCACGCAGACGGGGTCAGAGGAGTTCAGCCGTGAACGGGCGAGCGCGATTCGGGGGAAAGCTGACGATTGGAACCAGACGCGCTGGTTCAAGCAGCTTCCCAGAAACGGGGAACTCGAACTGCAAGTTCTAAACGCAGGCAGCGGCGATGGAGAAGGCGATAACGTCGACGTGGGAGTTCAGAGCGGAATAGTTGGAGATTAAACTCGTCACGCGTAGTCAAAACAGAAAACGTGAGACGATCAATCAATTTGCTTATCCGCGGGAAGCTAGTCGACAGGTGTGCAGGTCGCCATCACTCGTTACGTTCCCACTCCATGTTTGTTTCGGTAGAAGAACCCGTGAGACACTTGATGAGACGAAAAGTCTTCACAGGACAAAAAGAGTCTTTGTGTTCCCACAAAATGAAGCTTCACTTCGAGTCGTAATCCTCTTCTCCAGAACAGCAAAGATGACGACCGCTCCCTGGCTCTTCTGGATGCCACGCCTCCTTCCACTCCTCGCGCTCTGCGGCTGGACAGGATGACCCTCACCCACCCGGGCGCCATGCTCGACGACCCCCGGGAGTTTCGCGGGTAAATCGCCGTTACGTAAATCCAACGCGGGGCGGATTAATCCTCGTTCGCCTCTCCCTCCCCCTCGCTGATTTCCTTCTTCGTCCCGTCCCGCCCAAGTCTCTCGGCAGATGGCAGCAGCTCCAACAGCAGCCAGGATTCTCTCCACAAGTCCAGTAAGAAGAAAAGCATCAAGTCCTCCATCGGGCGACTTTTCGGGAAGAAGGAGAAAGGACGGATGGGCCAACCCGGGCGGGAGGGGTCCGCTTCTCTCGGTAACCAGAAGGAGGGAAACCCGGGAGTGATTCAAAATATGTTGTGTTATCTGTCATTCTCTTGACCTCTGACCTCGCTGCGTCCCCTCCAGCGTCCACGCCATCCGAGGAAATGGCCTCCGGCGACCCGATGGGCCTGAACAAGACCGGGACTCTGGGTCCGGCAGATAAAGACCGCCGCAGCAAGAAGAAGTTTGTGAATCCTGATGACTCAGATCTCAGACCTGCATCTGGTGGTTTCTCACGTCAGCGGCACCCAACGTGTGACTCTTCCTCTTCCTCTTACCAGGCATGAGCTGCTGGAGGAAGCATGTCGCCAAGGACTCCCCTTCGCATCCTGGGACGGACCCACGGTCGTGTCCTGGTTGGAGGTACGGTGCCGTCACAGAAACCTAAACACGTCCGGTTGTCAGAAGAAACTTCTACGCTTTCAGAGCAGCGGGTGTTTCAGTTCAACAAGTGGCCGCGTTAACTGGTGACTTTCAGGTGAACGGTTCCAATATTATATAGAGCAGCAGTGACCTGTCAATCACAGTTATCCCGCCCTAAAGCATCCATATGGTCTTTATGGACCATGACATGAACATAATGCTGTATTTAAGACTTTAAAACTAGAAATTGAGACCATAAACTCATGTCTACAATGTTTACAGATGGAATAAATCAAGAGTCATTTTCTCATATACTTCTATACAATTAGACTTGTTTTTGCAACCCGATGGTCAGGGGAGAGAATCCAAGTTTTAAGACACTTTTTGCATCGGTTTCACTCAGAGGAACCGGATGCCGCTGCCTGGCAGCCACGGATGCCGACAGTCACCAGTTAACACAATTAGCACTTGAGTCTCTGTCTCGGTCTAATTTCTCTACTAAGGACACAGAACTTTCTCCAGCAATCAAATGTTCACCACTGGCCCCACATTCCCTCCACATTTATTCCCTTTGTCGTCCGTCTCCCTCCAGCTGTGGGTGGGAATGCCGGCCTGGTACGTCGCCGCCTGCCGCGCCAACGTGAAGAGCGGCGCCATCATGGCCAACCTGTCGGACACGGAGATCCAGAGGGAGATCGGCATCAGCAACCCGCTGCACCGCCTCAAGCTGCGGCTGGCCATCCAGGAGATGGTGTCCCTCACCAGCCCCTCGGCGCCGGCCAGCACCCGCTCCGTGAGACACCGAACGCACTCAGACCAGAACACGCCGCGTCACGTCAGCGCGAAGCACATTCTGCTCAGGGGGAATAAGGGACATGAAACCGACCCTGCAGGGTGATGAATGTCAAACGTACATTGGAACGTGTGTTTTCCAGAGGAGAGGGACGGTAAACTGCACCCATTTAGTTCCACCCGGTAACACAACTCGGCAAACAGAAGCTGCCTCCTCGTGCTGCGACAAAAAACACAACCAGATGTTGAGCGACGCACACAGAGGCGTCGTTTAACAGCACGTCCGATCAGCCAGTTTATTTGTTTCACCTTGTCTCTCGTCCCCAGTCGACCAGTAACGTGTGGATGACCCACGCTGAGATGGAGTCCCTGAACGCAGCCACCAAGCCCCCGGTTAGTGCTCCCGCCCGCCCCGTCTCTGTCCACTCTTAGTATTATTATTTTAAGTGTCCGGTCTGAATGGTGTTGACGAGTCTCCCCCCTCTCCCCCCTCTCTCTAATGATATTCCGTCTCTTTCTTGTCTTTGTGGGATCAGGACCGAGTGTTGAGCTTCTTCTTCTTCTTCTTCTTCTTCTTCTCTCCTCCCTCTGGTTTCAGTGTGAACTGCTTCCGACTAATTACCCGTTCACTAACACGCTGTTCCTTCCTTTTGTCCTCATTTCCTGCTGCTGCTCCTCTCTGCTTCGCCTCCATCATCTCTCCATCCGTCCTCCCTGCTCTTGACCTCTCGACCCCCCCACCCCACCCCGCCACCTCCACATCACTCTCTCTGGCTCCGTCTGGCTCGGCCTCTCCTCTCACCGCTGCAGGAGCTCAAGGAGTTCAGCTGGGATCAGGTGAGGATCGTATCATATTCCCCGTGTTGCCCTCAAAATGTACTCAAAAGTGGGGCACTAAGGGCTTTGCGTCGTCCCCCCCCCCCCCCCCCCTCCAGATACTGGCCTACGGCGACATGAATCACGAGTGGGTGGGCAACGACTGGCTGCCCAGCCTGGGTCTGCCGCAGTACCGCAGCTACTTCATGGAGTCCCTGGTGGACGCCCGCATGTTGGACCACCTGACCAAGAAGGAGCTGAGAGGACAGCTCAAGATGGTGGACAGCTTCCACAGGTAGAGTTGAGAAGCCCGGGTGAAGGTGAGAGTGGAAACACGGCCTCCGTAGTTAACCCCCCCCCCCCCCCCCTGGGTCTCTCCTGCCAGGGTCAGTCTGCATTACGGCATCATGTGCCTGAAGCGGCTCAACTACGATCGCAAGGAGCTGGAGAGGAAGAGAGAGGAGAGCGTCCACCACAGCAAAGGTGAGCTGACCCCCACATTCACCCCCCCCCCCCCCCCCCCCCATTGTCCCACCGGGTCTGCTCACCCTGGGCTCTTATCTCAAAGCACACCTCAGTGATTACTTTAAAGTACAACGTTGGTCATTATTACTCAACAGCACTCTTTTACCATTATTATGATAATTATTTGTGTATTTTTCTTTGTTGCTTTCTCCATTTGATTGTTAGTTCAAATTAAAGAGAAACACGCAGCTTTAATTCAAGAAAATAAACAGAGAACGCTGTACACAGTGTTGAGAATAATAGAGTCATCATACTATACAGATAGTGAGAAGAAGTTATCCAAAATAAAACCCTCCTAGATTTATCGTTTGTGGTCGACCTCCGGTCTCCACTTCCATCAGCATCTGACCCCGACACGAGGCGTCTTCTTCTTCTTCTTCTGTGGTCCTTTCCGCTCCGCAGGGAGGATTGCATCATCCGCCCCAAGTAGCGGTAGTTTCATGCTATTATTAATAGACCGAGCTGCAGGGCCATTGGCTTGACTTCATTTCAACTTTTAACAATGGAAAAAAAAGACAAAATATTTGTACGTTGCAAACGGAACAAATTAAGAGGTACTTTTCACATCACGTTTCACATATGGAACATGAAGCAATAATTAAACACAGACTTCATGAAACAAAAGTTACCTTTGATCTCTGCTGTCTGGAACAAGTTGGGTCCCCCCCCCCTCGCTTATGGCTCGCTCACAGACCGCAGCTTTCTCGTGCAATTTGGCTGGATAACAATTACATAAATGTCAACGGGATTAGTCATTCAACAGCCCTCCCACCTCTGACCCCCCCTCCCGCCCCCCCAAAAGCTCTTGCTCTCATAGCTGCGCCTCGGGTTACACATGTTGTCGATTTACAGCCGGCCCATCCTTGCTGATTTCCTCCTTTCCCAATTCTCTTTATCGCTCATCAACCCGAAAAAGCTAGCAACACTCCCCTCAGAGGACCATGCATAATTCAATTAAGGAAGTTCCTCAGAGGAGCATGCATGTTGCATAAGAAACTCCCTCAGAGGAGCATGCATGTTCCATAAGGAGTCCTCAGAGGACCGTGCATATTCCATGAGGAAGTCCCTCAGAGGACCGTGCATATTCCATAAGGAAGTCCCTCAGAGGACCTTGCATATTCCATAAGGAACTCCCTCAGAGGAGCATGCATGTCCCATAAGGAACTCCCTGAGAGGACCATGCATGTTCCATAAGGAACTCCCTGAGAGGACCGTGCATATTCCATAAGGAAGTCCCTCAGAGGAGCATGCATGTTGCATAAGAAACTCCCTCAGAGGAGCATGCATGTTCCATAAGGAAGTCCTTCAGAGGACCGTGCATATTCCATAAGCAAGTCCCTCAGAGGACCGTGCATATTCCATAAGGAACTCCCTGAGAGGACCGTGCATGTTCCATAAGGAAGTCCCTCAGAGGACCGTGCATATTCCATAAGGAAGTCCCTCAGAGGACCGTGCATGTTCCATAAGGAACTCCCTCAGAGGACCGTGCATATTCCATAAGGAACTCCCTCAGAGGACCGTGCATATTCCATAAGGAAGTCCCTCAGAGGACCGTGCATATTCCATGAGGAAGTCCCTCAGAGGACCGTGCATATTCCATAAGGAAGTCCCTCAGAGGACCGTGCATATTCCATAAGGAAGTCCCTCAGAGGACCGTGCATATTCCATAAGGAACTCCCTGAGAGGACCATGCATATTCCATAAGGAACTCCCTGAGAGGACCATGCATGTTCCATAAGGAACTCCCTCAGAGGACCATGCATGTTCCATAAGAAACTCCCTCAGAGGACCGTGCATGTTCCATAAGGAACTCCCTCAGAGGACCGTGCATATTCCATAAGGAAGTCCCTCAGAGGACCGTGCATATTCCATGAGGAAGTCCCTCAGAGGACCGTGCATGTTCCATAAGGAACTCCCTCAGAGGACCGTGCATATTCCATAAGGAACTCCCTCAGAGGACCGTGCATATTCCATAAGGAACTCCCTGAGAGGACCATGCATGTTCCATAACGAACTCCCTCAGAGGACCATGCATGTTCCATAAGGAACTCCCTCAGAGGACCGTGCATGTTCCATAATGAACTCCCTCAGATGACCGTGCATATTCCATAAGGAACTCTTTTCAGAGGACCGTGCATAGTGCATAAGGAACTCCCTCATAGGAGCATGCATGTTCCATAAGGAACTCCCTCAGAGGAGCATGCATGTTCCTTAAGGAACTCCCTCAGAGGAGCATGCATGTTCCATAAGGAACTCCTTCAGAGGACCGTGCATATTCCATAAGGAACTCCCTCACAGAAGTATGCATATTACATACGGAGTCCCTCAGAGGGACCGAGCTTTCCCATAAGGCACTCCATCAGAGGACCATGCATTATCCATATGGAACTCCATCAGAGGACCATGCATGTTACACAAGGAAGTCCCTCAGAGGACCGTGCATGTTCCAGAACTCCATATGGAGTTCCATAATATGTTGACACATGAATGAAACACTGCCTCCTCTCCCCTCTCAGATGTGATGGTGTGGTCCAACGAGCGTGTGATGTGCTGGGTTCAGACCATCGGCCTGAAGGAGTACGGAGACAACCTGCGTGAGAGCGGCGTACACGGCGCCCTGCTGGCATTGGACGACACCTTCGACTACACCGACCTGGCGCTGCTGCTGCAGATCCCCAACCAGCACACGCAGGTGACCGCGCGAGGAAGCTAACGCAGCTTCAAGGAGACGCGAAGACCGACCGATGCATGCGATTTGGAATAGCGCTTGTTTTGGCATTGCCTTTTTAAAATATATGTGAGAGCGGACAGGAAACGTGGAGAGAGGTGCCGGGCGGGACGCACGACCACCACTGTTTCCGCTCTTTGTGGGCGCCAGCTTCCCCACATATATTAAATGAAGTCACTGCTTTCTAATGAACGCGCAGTGAGCTGGAGGCTGCGCGTTACCTCCGTCCCGTAAGGACGTACTGGACGGCGATGAAAGCGTGTTAAACATACTTGCGTGTGCATCACTGTGAAGGTTGATTTTTAGGATTTTGTTCAAACAAAACAACATTTTGAAACTCCCATATTTTCATTATTTTAAGTGGAAGAGCAAAACTTTTTTTTTTACAACTTACAACAACCTTTATTTGCTTCATCAGTAAATCTTAGCTTTCATCCGGCCTTTAATGGTTTTTTGAGACCTTTAAAATTGAACCTGCCGGGCGTCTCTCTCCATCATCTCACATCTAAAGTAAAAGAACATCTCCCTAAAGCCTTATCGGACTCTTTAGGCTCCAGACTGTGCAGGTTTTTAATTGGGCACGGTATTCAAACACGATGATCGCATGAATCTCAACGCTCTCCTTCACCTCCCTCCCGCAGGCCCGACAGCTTCTGGAGCAGGAGTACAACTCCCTCATCTCCATGGGGACGGAGAGACGACCCGACGAGGTCAGCGCGCTCAGTCGAGCTCCGAGAGGTGTGACAATAAACAATGCTGACTAGGCCGACACTGACCCTGACCTCTGACCATCCAGCAGGACGGAGCGAAGACGTTCACCCGCTCGCCCTCCTGGAGGAAGATGTTTCGGGAGAAAGACCTCCGGGGCGTGACCTCCGACTCCGCCGAGACCCTGCCTGCCAACTTCCGTGCCTCAGCCATCTCCACGCCCTCCGTTACCCTGAGAAAGGTGCAGAGCGACGGTGAGTGCCGCCCGCGACCTCCGACCTCCGTTTAGACGATGTGTGGGCGACCTGTTTCATTACATGAGACGTCGTTTGGCTGCAGCTTTTATCCACTGCTCGCATGAGCAGCAGGTATCCTGCACATCATCATGGGACCAGTGGCAGCGTGTGAGCAGCGGCCGGCACAGAGGAATGTTAACAATGAAGTAGAAATAGTTACAATAGATTTAACGTTGAGAATGGACTCAAAATGTTGAATACATTCAAAATATTCAGCACTAATTTTAAATATTATTATTCTCAAAATGTAAATGAAATCTCCTCGCATGTCTTCCCCTGTGTCCAATAAAAGCCTTTAACAGAAACATTTGTTATATAAGACTTCATGTGCCGGTCGGGGGGGGATTTAGTTTTTTTTTTCCTCTTACGCAAAGCAACCGACAAAAACAAGGAGCCGGCGCTTCAAAGCGCAGAGGAAGGCGATTATCTCTCGTTAACGGGGAAGGTCACTGCGTGTTTAAAGATAATAACCCCCCCCCCCCCCGTCTGTGTCTCCACAGCCAGCTCCGGCGCCCGGGGGGAGTCCGCCTCAGTGAGGACGTACTCCTGCTGAGGGGCCGAGGTGAGAACCGTCCCGGGGCGATTTGACCATTCACGTGGTTGTGTGTGCGGTTGTGTGTGTGGTTGTGTGTTGTGGTTGTGTGAATGACACATTTTCTCTCTTCAGGGCGCCACTGGATTTGGGACTAGAGGACCTGCTTGCTCATCCTCGAGGGAGAGGGGGGGTTCGGGGGGGGGGTCAATGAATATAACCATTTCACTTTTGAAAATGAATCCATCCGTCCGTCCTGCAATAACCGAAGCAAAAGGAACGAAGGCGGAAACGG